GGCAAAGAACAATCACCGACGGCCGACAAAACCTAACACGCGCACAAGTGAACCGTCGATTACTCCGCGATTGATTGATTTAACGCACGCACCTGCAAAACATGGTTAACACGCGATTCCGGTATATGCCATCAATATAAATAATTATTATAGGAAGAAACAAAACTAGTCGCGATAAATGCACGCGTCTCAATCTGTGTCCGAAATAAAACTGCATGTGCACAGCCGACGGCGACAACACGCGGCCACTATCAGGTGTGCGATGCGTTCGCACAATGTGACCATGAACGCAATTCAAAGAGATGTTTATTTACAAATATTAATAAACCCAGGCCGCCATAAAGGATTGAATAAATAAAAATATAATGTAAAGAGTAATATGAACAGAAAACCACTAGATATCAAAGCAAAAGCTAAAATTTCAGGAAAAAAAACACCGAAAATTTACAAACATCGACGATTTTTAGAGTGACATCACTGGAAATGTAACCTGCGAATAAAATTATTTTTTTAATTACCTGAATTATTCAATTACCTCACCAGTATTTTTGGCCTAGGAGTTCAAAAGACAATTACCGAAACAGAAAAAAACTTCAATTGCCAAGAACAACAGAATCATTGGCAATTTTTTCTTAAGAATTAAAATTTCATCTCTCCGATTTCCGTTTTAACTATCCTATCTGATAGAAAATAGTCCGTAGATTAAGATGCTGCGATCAGATCTTAATTATCTCTTTTAGTTTACGAGATATTCGCGTTTAAATAAAATGGGCAAAAATTGAGAAATGTCACTTTTTAGCACTTTTAGTCGCGATTTTCGACCTTTTACTGTGGGAAATATAATTATTTTATATTTCTATCTGATAAAGAATTTTCCAATCTTTCATAATCAATAATTCGTTGGTAGCTATCTCTTTTAGTTAAAGAGATATTAATTATTGAAAATCGTCGAAAAAAAGTATCAAGCACCCCCCCTTGGCAATTTTTTCCTAAGAATGAAAATTTCATCTCTCCGATTTCCGTTTCAACTATCCTATCTGATAGAGAATAGTCCGTAGATTAAGACGCTGCGATCAGATCTTATTTATCTCTTTTAGTTTACGAGATATTCACAATTGAATTTCGCACTAACTAGTTAACTAGTTTTGCGTTTTTCTAGATTTTACCTCATTATGGGAGTAATATTGTATCCATCATTCATTAATTGCACTAGCATGAACTACAAATCATAAATTAGAAGTGTATTAGTTTTGAACACAATTCTGTTACCTGCGTTTCGGTATAAAAAACTTTTTTATCGCATGTATTCCGTACATCGTTCTCTCGCACCGCATCTACTTGCTGCATGCAGCAGTTTAGTTTAGATCGTAGGTATCCGTGTCTATTGCTATTGGCGCACAAAGTCACGTGTGATAAGGTTTGCACACCTCTTGTATTTACACGCGCGACAGCAGGCTGCCTTATCATATCGTCAGCTGTGGTGTGTGTATATTAGGCATGCCTTAGCATTTTCGGTTATGCTACGGCCAGTTCCGTGCCGGTCTCTGGTTCCTTCGGGCTTCTCGTATCATTCTTAGAGTTTGATTAATTATTCGGCGTTGTATTTGATTGAAATCGTGTAAATTTTCACCGCTGCGGTTTTATCGTGTGCAGTTGCCGTTGTCGGTCCCTTCATTTTTCCGTCATGTTGATTTATTCATCATTAGATAATCCATTGGTTATCTCTAGGTAACTTTTAACTGAATAACATAGATTATTAGTTTTCTTTTGATGTGTGAATATAATATTAATAAAATTTATGAAATGATTTAACTTGTGTTTTATTTTATTTATAGTACCTTTCGGGTCTTGGATTCCGACAGGTTCCGCTTTGGTAAGTTAATATTTTAACTATGTTTTTCGTTTATATTTGCGCGTCACATTTTTTTTATTGCAATGGCATAAGATAGTCGCGTACCATGCTGATACATCAAAGAATTAAACTTTTTGATTTTCCGGCTATTCTGTTCGAACAAGATTCTCGCGAAATCTGCTATCTGGAAATGGTTTCAAAGTACGTCTATATCCCGTTTTTGCAGCTGTTAAAAGTTGATGTGAAAAATGAGTCATATCTCGGGAACCCTTTATGATATTGAAAAATTTCAGGATTTGCGAGATATTCGCAATTGAAAAAAATGGGTAAAAATTGAAACATTTTTCTTTTTAGCACTTTTAGTCGCATTTTTCATCTTTTTACTGTGTGAAATTAAATAATTTTAAATTCTTATCTAATTGAGAATTTTCCTAACTTTCATAATCGTCCATTCGTTTGCCTTCATTTAAAAGATAATTGTTATTAACAATACTAAACAAAATGACGCAGCACATGAGGTATACAGTAAACTACGAAGAAAATAAATTATTTATTTGTAATGGTAAACTAATTTCCTGTTTTTCTGAATCTTATAACATCTCAAAGCCAATAAATTCTTTTCTTATGCCGAGAAATATTGAATGTAAAAGTAGTAGAAAGTAAAAGTAAGTAGATTTCGTGTATGTCGGTCATTTCAACATTGTGATATTTTAGTTTGGTCTTTTCAACTACGAGTTTATCAGTACGTTTGTGTATAAACAACTTTTTTTTGTTCGACTGACGCGTATTATCGCTACGTACCAGCCTTGTACCTGGCTAAGCAAAGCGCACACGGCAGTCGTTTCACCGCGTGGTCCGGGAACGTATCTCTCTAATCGCCATGCGTTTTGAGGTTTTAATTGGATTAATCGTCGGGTACTTTTTTGACCATCAGCAAAATATTCGCAATGGGCATGTGTGCCTGTTTTGTTTAATGATTTGTCGCGTTTAGAGTCTCCTTAAATAAGATATAAGTGTCCATCAATCTGTGCGTGTGTTTTCAGGTGATAGAATATATTCCAGGATATAAAATCCCCTCATCAATGCATAGGTAGGTGTATAATATATAAATTTTTTACGTAAAGTTACGCCGCTTTAACTTAAATTGGTTATTCTATTTGCGTGATATGAAATTTGCTTGTATCATCTTACAAATTAAAAACACATGGTATGTAGCATTTTTATCCAAATTCTAAGTTCCGTTTCCGAAAATAACATGGATGATTTAATTACTACAAACATTGTTTTACAAAAGTATCTGAAGATTATTTAAATTGGCAATATTCATATGGTCGACCACGCTTACTTTGCCGTCGGCCGTCGGCTCGGCCGTCTTTTCGCAGAACACGTGAATGTTTTTAATCAATTTGCGCTCCTTAGCATCATTAAATTAAGAAGTTTCTTGTTGACCTAGTAAAATCTTGCACGTTGAATAGTTTTTCGTTTTCATAGTCTCCGTACGTCTTAATATTTACAAAAAAGAACAATAGTTATTTTTATACTCTCTAGCAATTGTATTGCTACGCGCCGTCGCTTGCCGTCAGCTGATTTGAATGTTTTCAATTTATGATGATGTTCTACCCGTCGGTTACTTTATGCAGTTGATGCATCAATTAATAAATATACATTCACAATATATTAAAATATTGTTGTTTATTTGTAAATTTCCCTCTTCATGTTGTGAATATTAGCTCCCTTTGTAGTTTCTAAAGTTTTCTTTTTGTAACACCATGTATATTAGTTTTCCCTAACACTACGTAGAAAATCGCCGGTATTTGTGAGTTTTGTGGGCTCTTTGTTTCAACTAGAGATTTTCTTTCTTAAACACCCTGTATATTCATTTTTCTTTGTGTCCGTGAAAATTTAGCTTTAACTGTTGTTTTTAGGAGTTTCCTCATTGCCCTTTAAATTTTCTTTTTGTGACGCCCTGTATATTAGTTTCCCGGAGCCTTGGGTGAAAAACGAATGATATTTGTAGTGTTAAAATGTTTTTCTGTTTTCATATTAAATTTTTCATTTGTAACACCCTGTATATTTGTTTCCATTTTCAACCCCGTAGAAAATAGGCTATTTGCTAATTTCATTATTCCGGTAGAACTGTACGAAGTGGTACTTGCTTATATGTGCGCTGTTTAGCAGGTCGTAAGTCCGGTTTCAATATGGCGACATGTATTCTGTTGACATGTAAAACCTAGACCAAGAGCCAGTGACGGCCAGACTTTCGTCATTTTAGGAAAGATGAAATTTTGTCCATGTGTTTCTCCAGCACAGGTAAGAACGATCCCCAATTATGAAACCTGGATCGTGGTTCCTTTGGCAGTTAACAGCCAACAAAGATGTACACATGATGACCTATGTTTCGTTATTTTAGCAAACTCCATTTTTGCATATTTTGTTCGTCACATTATTATAACATGCGCTGCTCATTGCCAGTCACCTGGTAGCTGGTTCCAACCCTAGTGAACACTAAAGTATATTTTTTAACTTTTTTACTTTCAAATTTATGTATTAGAGCTGAATTTGATACACATTATACAGAGCTATAAAACTGTGTTTTCCAGCACGCCAGACAGTTTGGTCGGTTCTATCATCCTGCCAGACGCGGCTACGCAGCTTCTGATCAGGTTTCATAATTGGGGATCGTTCTTTACCTGTGCCGGAGAAACACATGGAAAAACGAATTCTACGTGGACAGTACAACAAACATGTATGTACACATTAATTCATAAGACAATACAGCAAAGTCAAATACACAATAAATGGAGTTGTCAAGTTCTACATACACAATTACATAGCACAAACAGCAATCAGGGAAATGTTCTTAAGAGGATGACACGCACAAGCAGCTTCTCTAACAGACACCGCGTTGAAAATTCTATGCCGCTCAATAACAATGCATGCACGAATAGGTGAATTAAAATAAAGAAAGTCTGCAGTTTACCGTTCTATCTTCCACGTAGATTTTCCATGTTCCAATTCATTGTCCAGATAATATCACAACCAGTGGCGTAGCGTACCTTGTCGGGGCCCCGTATAAAATTTTGTTTGGGGCCCTTATATGGAGGTAAAGGTTTTTCCTTACACACTTTGGGGCCCCGTGGCCGGGGCCCCGTATAATTGATACGGCAAATACGGCGGTAGCTACGCCCCTGATCACAACAAACGTTGCAAGACGTTGCAGGTTCATGCTATCCGTATCTCGCGAGCGCGCAATGTAAACAAGTTGATAGCACGCGGCCATCCTGCAATACGCACAACGAACGCAAAGAGAATTAACTATTTTGTATATTCAACGTCCGATTATCCATTAATAAAACAATAAACACGTCAATAATAACTAAATGCAGTCGATAAACAATCGAAATTCGAAACAGATTTACCGAACTACAAACTCAAAATAAAACGATAACAGCCGCGAGAAACACGTCCGACCCGACCAATAACCGGCACAAAACTGTGCTGAGCACAGCGCGCAGCACATTCAACGGCGGCACGCGACCACATGCGATAATACTGCGCGCACGCCGCAGTACAACGCGCACTATGAGTATTTGCAATAAACAAGGTCGCATGCAGGATAGACAACTTTGAAAATGCGCCAAGAAAATTTGTTTAATGCAATTTCGCGTGCAAAATATCATAGGAATTGTCACATATGCAAGATCACGTGGAAACCCGAAAAAATAAAAACATTTCCCGGGAAGAGGGTGAGTCACTCTTTTATGCAAATTTTCGCGGGTTGCAGGTCGATTTCTTGCAACAAACAAAAATTCCCCGTCGGAGAATTTAATTCCGCATCTCAGAACTCCATGCTGAAGGTATTCGGTCGCCAGGGTCGCGTGCAAACCCGAAAAAATACAAACATTTCACGAGAAGTGGGGAAAAAATTACCCTTTTATGCAAATTTTTGCGGGTTGTAGGTCGAATTCCACCAACAAACAAGTTGCACCCGACGAAGAATTTAATTCCGCATCTCTAGCCGCCGTGCTGAAGGTATTCTGTCGCCAGGGTCGCGTGCAAACCCGAAAAACTACAAACATTTCACGAGAAAAGGATGAAAAGTCACTCTTTTATGCAAAATATCGCCCGATGGAGAATTTAATTCCGCATCTCTAACCACCGCGCTGTAGTCATTGAGCCGCCAGGATCGCGTGCAAACCCGAAAAAATACAAACATTTCACGAAAAAAGGGAAAAAAGCAAGAAAAAGGCAAATTTTGACGGTCATTTTGAGGCAATTACAACCGAAAATAAAGGAAAAACAAAAATATCACGAAGGGTTCCCGAAATATGGCCTGTTTTCCACCTTGTGAATTTCGCGGGATTTCAGAGGTGTATTGTAAAAATGAACGCTCGGGCTATCAAAAAATAAGGAAATAACTAGAAATTTTATTTTGTGATGTATCAGCAGGGCACGCGACTATCTTGTCTTTACAAAACGCAAGTGGAACGAGATAAAAAAACTACATACATGCAAACTATTATTCGACGCATATATTACAGCGAAAGTATAACTTACCAATGTAGATGCTAATTGGCTCCAAGGCATGGCAAGTGCTGTAATGAAAAGAAAACAATTCAATGCATTTTCCAGGATATAATATTATATTGGCGCATCGGAGAAAATACTTGCAATACAACACGATTTGTATTCAACTATGTTTATGTTATATATTTTACATACCCAATTGCAAAAGATCCCCAAAATTAGAGGAAACATCATAGCGGGAACCAGTACTAAATTGAATCCAAATCCAACGTAATTTAATCCAAGGATGCGCGTATTGATAAACGACGCCAAACAACTCCGAAATCCGCCGTTTGAGAAAACAACCGATAAAACCAAACCCGATAAAAACAAACTAGCATTTATAATCACTACACGCACAAATAGTTAATAACATATTACTATAGATGCAAGTTACAACAAATTAGTCTATTACTGACCGAATTTAATGCAACTTTCATAATTTAAAACCAAAAAACGATACGAGTAACGCGGAACACGTCTGGATACACCAGCGACCGGAATGAAACTGCCTGCGTCCACCGATAGTGGAAACAACGACGGGACAGTACATGATAAGAAAGCAAGAGCTGCGCAAAGCCTTCGGCACGCGAATTGCAATAGGCATGTCACCGACCATCTAAACCAACTAGAATGTGTTGCATGCGGCAAGTGTAAGAGATGCGTGCGGGCTGGCAAAACAACTGCGCTCGCCGACCTTGACTAGCAGCAAAAATATTTTTACTTAAACATGCATCGCAGCGTCATCTACGAACTTCTTAATAATACCTCTTGAATAATCTCCTTGATCTCCCATTTTCTTATCTTCAATAATCGTAAACATACACACCACAAACTAAAACTAAAACATCTCTCTCATTAATAATATTGACACAAAACTCAGTTTTCTCACATTCTCCTGATTCAAAGTACAAAACAAAAATACATTCTCATATATTCAATAATTATAATTAATTATTCTAATTTAATTAATGTGTGATGGCATTCAATGGTTCTGCTTTTATGCTTGCAAGATTCAGCCTGTTGTCTACATCTTCATCAATCAGCCCCACAATTGCACTGAAATTAAAGCAACTTGTATTAAAATAAAAACATAATCAGTAGGTAAATACACTCACACATTGTCACCGCGGATAATGTGCAGACCAAGCATGACTTGCTCCACACCAGTGGCTGAGGAATAGACTCTTTCATGAGATTCATCAATGATGATGTTGATTGTCTGGTCAAAACCTTTCAGAGTTCCCTGGACACCCACAAAGTGAACAGAATAATCACTAAAGCAAGCTTCATATAAATCTAAAAAGAACTTACAATAAAATTTCTGCCATCAGATGTGATGATGGAAACTGTATCTGTAAATATTTAGTTAAGTAAAAATAATTTTCAAAAATTAAACAAGAAACATTTTATATCCGTTGATGAATAGAATAAATTGTGAAAAGGATACGGTTGACGAATTGGTCCAAACTGCTTGTCATTGTTACTAAATAACAATTAATTCCCAGTGGAAAACTATCCTACTAAACGTAAATATTCGTTGAATAGTAAGGTTAACATTCACGCGGCTTGCTATGAAAATATAAATTAAAACAAGTTTTGGTACACAGTACGCCATCTATCGGAAAATTTTCTACTACTGTGAAAATAAAAATAAAGCCTTACTCACACCTTTTTTAATGTTTGTATGAGGTAGTGAGTGTTACGAAAGTTAACACGTCTGTGTGACCCAACCGTGTGTGATAGGCTTTATATCACTAAAATTCAAACATTCTACAACGCCATCTATCAATGACTATACACGACTAAAACAATACAAGGACGTGTAACTTTAAACGGAATTCAACCAAATATTAAAAACTTTAAATTTGATACAATAAACACGCTTGCAACTTTCTCTGGGATTTTACATTGATATATTATACATTTATTGTACTTGATCAATTTGTTTGTTTCGCATTCACGTTCAGCGTTCGTCGTTAATATATAATCTCCTATCATAATTATATAATCTGCACATGTGCACACACAATTCGCTAGAAACTCCACGCTGGTCGCATCACATCAATCATACATATTTCGCCTCAATTAATACATAACTGCACGCACAACAACCTTCATCTTCCTCCATGTTTTTTTTTTTGGTTTCCAACACTCACACATACAATATTTACCTCATGCTAAAACCAATAACTCTTCTCTTCAAGTCTTTGCCATCCATCATAGCTTACAATTACAATTATATAATAGTACATATTATTTCATCTTTTTTAGTATTTAGTTTCTTCTTCATCTTTTTTTTTACAAATAATGGTCCTTTCTACTATCACAGTTTTCAAATAATAATATTTATAAAACGTTTAATCTCTCTGCAAGTTTTGTTGCGTGTTACTCTTCACATCATCATTATCTTCGTATCTCTCTTGTTTAGTTTAAGATTTAGGTATTTTTAGTTAAAAGTTATTCATAGCAATTCCGTTTTTGCAATATTTAACATTAATTTCTTCTGTTTGTTTGCCTGGTAAGAGGATGACACACATTGACATACACATTTTAAGGATTTCAAGAGGAGCCCAAGAAGACCAAGGTAATTTTACGGGGCAGACGTGTCAATTTTAACATGCTAGTAATGTTTGTACAATATTTACAATAGTTACAGGCTTTCCTCCCTTTCTCATCCAATCATCTTACTTTTTAACGCATTTCCTCAATTTTCCCAATCAGCTTCTTACCTTTGGCACATTGCATATTACATTCTGCTCTCCTCTTGTCTTATTTTGTTTACCCTGTATATCATATATTCGTGGGAGCGGTGGTTTACGTGTTCGTGGTGCTCGGATAGGGGAACATCGTGCCGGCGGTAGCAGTGGTAGGCCCGGCGGAGCGGACGGCGGGACGTGGCGGCAAACGGGGCGTCGTCTGCCCCGAGGAGGTCGAGCTGGAGTCGCTCATCAGCCGCGGCGAGATACTCGGGGGTTGGGGCGGCAAGCTACAACACCAATTAACAACATTTAACAACCAATTCTACCACAAACAAACAAATACAAAGGAGGAAAACACAAAGAAACATTAATGTGGCGATGATGATTTCCTCGCGCTGGTCACACCGGTGCAGTCAAGATGCTGCAACTTCGTCTCCATCATATGGAATAACGATCGTTTACGCCGCGTGTGCGACGCATCAGATCGCGAGCGTTGCAGTGTACCTCTACATCCAAACAAAATTACAATCTTTAAAATAAAATTAAAATACTTACTTTGTGCTGCCATTATTGAGACCTCGCACAGGCAGCTGCGGTTGATGATTGGCATGTCGACGAATATGCAGCTGTGACGTGTGCGTCGGATTCAACCTTGGCATTGTCCCACCTCCACCCGCGTATAATCCATGACTACTACTCGGCGATGCGGCGGGTTCCCGGCGTGGGGGCAGCGGTGGCGCGTCCGGCGCTTGTTTAATCTGCTGCGGTGATCGTATCTCCGGACTATCTCTCCTAATCCTCGGCGGTAGCGGCGGAGGTGTTGACGGTAACAACCTAGGACTATTCGGTTCCTGCAGCGCGACATACGGCCCCGGTGATGCTGGACTATGCGGGCCAGGACTACTCGGTCCGAACTGATGTCTCGCCGGTACGAAAACAGCGGCCGGAGGTGGTAGAGGTTCCGGTCGATGGCGGCTAATGCTCGACGATGTGCTCGATACACTCGGGCTGCGTACATGCCCCGGTTGGAATACGCCAATGTGTGATACAGGCGCCGCTGGTGATGCCGGACTCAACGTCGGGCTGTTCTGCCCGAGTTGCACCTGCGCAAACACGCTGAACTCACTGTCGCTCTTACTGGAATCTTCTTTTCCGCTATCATCACTCTTTGCGTTGTGATTGTGATTACTCAGCGTGGTGTCTTTAACGTGTGAATTCACCGATACGCTTGTTGAGGAGGATGATGAGGAATTGAACGCCGGCGCTGGGACGATCGCTGCTTTGGATACCTTGGATTTCGTGCTGGGGGATTTCAGATGTGCGGGCGGCCATCGCCGCTGGAACTTTGGCACTTGTTTGCAGCCGCGCGGTTCAATCTCCATGCTTTTGTTGAAGAGATAATTGGAGATGTCTGTGTCCTGCATGTCTTCAAACGGATTCAACGTCTCTAGATAATGCTAAAAATATTTTTTTATGCATAAATATGTTTTTAAAAATAAAATATTAAACTTACGCGTATTTTTGGTTCAAGATCATAACAATACGGTTGATTTTGATACTGTTGGATCTCCCCGGTGATCTCAGCGACTTTCCGCCGCTTGAAGAAGTTAATCAATTGCGTATTCGGCAGGAAATCAGGATTTCCCTCCTCGATGTGCAGGATGTTGGTGAGATACATGCCGAGGAAGGGCACGCACGGTGGATTTATCGAGCGTAGTTTTTCTTGGTACTTTTTGAAACGATCATCTGCGCCGGGGCATTCGTCCAATACTTTTCTATTTTGCGGTGACAATGCCTAAAATATTAAACAATATAAAAATCATGTTAAAAATACATTATTATAATACTCACAGCTAGAGTGTGTTTTAATCTAAAGACCGACGCTGAGCCCATGGCGGAACTAATCGCCAACACACCATTAAAGTTATTTAAATCGTCCAGATGTGTCATGATCTCGATGATTCGATTCACAACCGCGCAGCGTTCTTCAAAGTTCGGTGTGTCGACAATGTTCTTCTCATACCAACGCGTCATCTGTGAAAATATAAAATTTTAATTTATGTTGAGATTATTTTTACAAGTAAATTAATTTGAATTGCTTACATTTGTTGTGTGTTTAATCATTTTTAATAAATTGGGACTAGTCTTCTCTTTGTCCTTCTTTGTCCATACAGAGCCGACCAATTCGGATGGCTTGATTGTTCGATACAAATCAAACTCAAGCATTGTCAGCTGTCGCGCCAGTTCAACCGGATGCAGCGTCATAAGCGAGAAGTCTTCCTCTTTCTTTGCGATGTGCCATTCTAGCGGTGGTTTCGGTGCGTCCATTACGTAGGTAATGTTGAGTGGTTGGCCATCTTGTTCCGACTAAACAGAAAACAATTTGTTGAGTTATTTTTCATGTTCATTGATCAAAAATTAGCGTTTTTCAGTAATAATAGTTAAAATAATTAATATTAAGCTTATAAATTTGGTAATTTTATAGAAATCATTGTTATTTGTGAGTAGAAGAAGTAAAAATTGAATTATCTTGTTTACTTTTCAAGTTATAACAAATTTTTTATTAAAAAATCCAATATTTTCAGCTTTTCTCTGCGTTTTTAGTCAATGAAACCTAAACTAATGTATATTTATCATTAAAACTTGCAAATATTATTAAACTCTTCTTAATTTATAAACATACCAAGAAAACATCTCATTATCTTCAATAGTTTTAAAGTTATCATAATTTTTCGAATAAAAACTGAAAATTTTCATCATTTTCGACCGTTTTTTGCTAATAAAACCAAAACTAACACTTCTAAAACATTGCAACTTCGCAATATAAGAGAAATCTTTACAATTTATTACCTCAAATCGTGAAAATCAATTTATCTTGATTACTTTTAAAGTTATCTCAATTTTTCCACACTAACCTTTTTCCTCTGGACAATTTTCAGCACAGAATCCACCCACTTCCGCATAGACTTCCCATTGACCGCCTGCAGAAACCCCATGAGTTTCTCCAACAACACCTCATCCCTAACGAAATCGTAGAAATGATGATCGACCCAGTGTCGCAGCACATTCAACACTCGAAACTGTACCGGCTGGCAGTACTCTTTGCGATAGCGCTTCCAGTCCTCGCGCTGCGAGTTCTTCTGCATCTTATCCGTATCGCAATTGTTCCCCTCCTGTTCGTACACCAGCGACGGGTCGGGAATGTGAAACCGTAAAATCAACAAGTCCAACAACTCAGTGGGCGCGCAAAACGACCGATACGTCGTTAAAAACGTGCGCACAAACTTCGGATCCGCGTAGATATGATACGTCAGCCTCTCGACTAATTTATAAATCGTGCCGCCTTTAATCAGCGGCACACCGCCATTTTCACGATGCTCCAGGATGATATTCTCTTTGGAATCCGCCTCGGCGAATTTATACAACTCGGGCGATGGTAATTTCAGCGGATGTTTACGCTCTATATCAGAGAGAATGCTGTCGAGGATGCGTTCGAGCATGGAGCGCGTGTTGAGCATGACAATATCAGCCATCCAGGAGTTTTTCTCGTCGGCGGACGCCGCGCAGAGTATAATCGACGGATGCACACGCGGGCACAGCTCGAACGCGTGTTTTACTTCGTCAGTGTCGGCATGATCGATGATTTCTAGCTTGCGGAGGAAGAAGCGCTCCTTCAGACGCCATTCGGGGTGATTTGCGTGCGCGGATGAGACGCGACGCGAGTTATGCTTGCAGAGGATCATCAGACCGTCGAAGAGGAAGACGCGGCGTTTGGTTAGACGTTTTCCAGAGCTTACTTTCATTAAAACATCCTCTGTAAATGTAAAAATATATAAATTATGGATAAAAGTTTTAAAAAATTAATATCATACCTCGAATAAATTCATTACAACACTGGCCGAGGTCCTTCGAGTCCCAATTCTCGACGTTTTTCTCCAATTCTTGGATCTTTTCAATAGCGGCCTGTCTTCTTGCCCGGGCATGCAGTTGAGAATTGCGTGGTAACAATTGGAATGCACAAGAACGTTCTAAAAACACAAAATATAATTTAATAATTTGAAACACTCAATATAATTACAGTTTCCTAACTTTCCTCTACGAACTTACACGAACAGTTTAAACCTCGCACGAAATTTAAACCTCGTGTAAACTCGTACTGTCATAAAACCTGACGCATGCGCCCTATACACATATATTATATATATAAAACGAGTGTATCACGAAATTTCTTACCTAAAAATGCAAATAACGGAATAAGCAACCCATCAACCTGCAGCAACGCCTCCTTATCATCAGGCGCTTGCGACAGCCCAATCAACAGCTTCAGATACTCCTCGTAGGTAAAACAATGCCGAATGGGTCCCATGAGCAGCGCAGGCAGATAATATTTGAGCGCCAGCTTCATGCCAGTGCCCGCCGTGAGCACCATCTTATTAACATCCTGCTGATTCAACAGCGCATTCAGCGTCTCGCGACACGTCGGCGACATCACATCCTTTGCGTACTTATTATACACAGAAAACTCAGCGCCCTCGGCCAACTCCTCGAAACAAGTACCCACATAGGGCATCTGCTCCTGTGCCATCTCCATCACATCCTCTAAACTACCAAGCAGCGTCACAGTCAAATCATAAATATCCAAGATATTAGAAAAGATGGCGTCCAGCTGGCGTTGATCCGCTTTGAGTTTAATAATCTCCTCGCGAAACACACGAATAATCATGTGTAATTCACGCAGGTATTGTCGTTCGGACGCCATTAACTCACGCACCACTTCTTCATAGGTGAGTGAACCGCGAGAGGGCGCCACCACGGCCGGTTCGAGTGTATTTAATGGCGCACCGCTTTCGTTCTGGCAGAACATGTCCATCAACGCCTGTATAACACAATAATAACAATCAAATAAATAAATATTTACGACTTAGATGAATAATATTCAAATGATGAGAATGAAAGCCACGTAACAATAAACATAGTTGAAACAAAGTGAAGAAATGAAAGAGAAAAAGCAGCAGAAGAGAGTTCAGACAGAAAACGTTTGGTACACAAGCATGCGGAACACGTGTTTTGATGGGGGTTTCCAGTTGTGGGTGTCATTCCATTCACCACATCTCGTATGTACCTACCATAGCTGTGGTCTGAGGCGGGCGTGAAAAGCAAAAATTTCCAGCGAATTAAGCAAAAATCCAATTAATGATGGAGAAACAACTCAAAACTCAAACACGACCCAATCAGATACAATCAACACATGAGATTGAAGCAAAGTGATGTCGGGCTGGTTGAAATGAATAGAACCAAACCGAAATACGTGTGTGAATAATGCGTGGGTGTGTACCTTGTCGGCGTTCATCGAGATCTGCACATCCTGGTAGGTGATCTCGACGTGCTTGATGTGCTTCACATAGTTGCCGGCGAGTTTGAGGATGTCGGCGGAGATGTACTCGAGGACAGCCACCAGGAAGAGGGAGACGGCTGTGTCGAACTTACAGTGATGCAATTCCTAAAATTATTGGAATGATTAGTGTTGAATTTGTGGTGTTTGGGGGTTGGGTACCTTTTGCAGTAGGTTGTGTATTTTGTCGACGGGCAATACGGATTTGTATTTCTTGCCCTTGTGGAGCGCGTCCTGCGCTTCTTTGAGCGCCCATTTGTCTATGGGCTTTGGGAATGTGCTCTGGACTCGATCTTCCACATCCTAAAAGGTAAATGAATGTTTTTAGTTCATTACTTTACACATTACAAGTAAATTTTGCTTAAAAATTGTGTTTTTTGATGATTAAACTTAAAGTAATCAATATAAAGCTTTGAAATTTGATTATTTTATAGAAATTATTGTGGTTTATAAGTGGAAGAAGTAAAAATTAAATTATCTTTATAACTTTTCACGATATAACAAATTTTTAATATAAAAATTATTGATTTTTAGTGTTTTTTGCCAATAAAATCAAAACTAATTCAAGTTGACTTCTAAAACTTGACAATTTGGTCAAATTCTTTGTGACTTTTAAGTAGAAAAAGAAAAAACTGAAATGATTCAAGTAGTTTTTAAACTATAAATATTTTTCGAGTAAAAAATTGAATAATTTTAACATTTTCGATCGTTTTTTGGTCATAAAACCTAAACTAAAAGCTTTAAAGCAATGAAATTTGGCAATATAAGAGAAACATTTATGATTTATAAGTTTATGAAGAAAAAAGTAAATTATCTTCATTACTTCTCATGTTATAACAAACTTTTTAAACAAAATCAAACATTTTCAGCTTTTTGGTGCCTTTTTCGTCAATAAAACCAAAACTAATGTGTACTAATCATTAAAACTTGCAAATTATATAAAATTCTTCTGAATTTACAAGCAAACAAAGAAATCATCCTTTTATCTTCAATAGTTTTAAAATTACCATCATTTTTCGAATAAAAATCAAACATTTTCATCATTTTCGACCATTTTTTGCTAATAAAACCGAAACTAAAACCTCTAAAACATTACAACTTGGCAATAGAAGAGAAATCTTCATACTTTATAACCTCAAACCGATAATAACAATTTATCTTGATAACTTTTAAAGTTACAACAAATTTTCTCCCAGTTGCCATGACAACACCACCCAAAAACCGCCATGTCATGCACAATTTCCATCCCCCAACCCTCAATAATTACCTGGACACTGATTGGACTAGGTTTAGCACACAGCATGCCCAGAAGCTGCAGGCACAGCTTCTCCACATACTCCAAAGCATCATCTTTGGCCTGAAGCGAAGGATGCACTTGCTCCAACACCTAAAACACACATAAAAAACACACAATTAAAATGATATCATACAAAAATATCCCATGACGAAATCCATTACCTTCTTGAGTGCAACAATGAGCACACCCTTCCACTTGACGATGTTCTCGTCCGACGTGAAATCGATGTGATCGCCGGAGTTTAGCGCGTTCATTGTCGCACATTGAACACCAGTGCGTCAGCCAGCTAGTAATGTCCAGGATCAACGCAGCGCGCTGCCGGAGCGCCTTCCACACGCGCTCTCAGCATGTCTCCGCCTGTCTCTCTATAGTATTCAAATCAAATTACTTGCGTTACTCGTAAAAAAACCCAATGATTCGTATACGTTTTGTTTGTTGCTGGTCTTGTTGTGTCGCCCAATGTTGTTTGACAATTGACGATCGGCGGAGGGATGGCGCACACGCACTCGCGCACACACACGAACTACTCTTTGGGGCGACACTTCTCCAGCGTGAAATCACCACTTGTAGACCCCCACGCGTGCGGTAATCATACGCAAACGCTCACGTAAGTTAATTACTAGTGTTTAGCGATGAGAAACAAGCGGCGGCGGCGTTAAACACGGCGTTATTTAGCAAAGTTCGCGGATCCGACCGACGGCGACCGCCATCATGTACGCCATGTTCTCGACTACCTTACGATCACCAACGGAAACACCCGAATGATCAACTAGTTACTAATACGGCCGCCAGAGGGCGTAAAATTCGCATAATAACACGAGTGTTACATAAACATTCATAATTCACAAAAAAATCATTATTTACGTCATAATAGTTTATTTCATATTTCATCGTATATACTGCTTTGTATTATTCTGTCTCCAGCATAAATCTCATAAAAGTCAACATTTCATAGAGATTCTCATCTAGTCTACGATCAATAAATAAATAAATAGTGAAAATTAAGTAGAAAACGCCAATAAATACTAAACTAGTAATAAATTACTTAAAACTATACAGATCCGGACTTAAAACGTACTTAAAATACTGACTACTACAGAAAAACATAGTTTTGTCATGTCTTCTTAGATTTGATATGATATGATATGACTTAAGTGTCTTTACGCTAACATTGTGTCTGCATGTGTGTGTGTGTGTGTTAATACTGATACAGCGCCGCAGCCATTTTGAATTGCGTATGTTAAAATGCGAAAGGTTTCTATTGCGGCGGTTGCAGTCGTCGCGGTGGATCGCCGGCGCGTCGCCTCAACTGCTGCAGGTGCTGCAAGTGTTGCAGGCTTTGCAGGCGCTGCAAGAGTGTGTCTTCCTTCGCCTCGAGCTCCGCCTCCTCGGCGTCTAAGATGGCTGCCTGGTCGCTGATGTCCTCTTCGCTAGCGTTGAATAGGTTCTGGAGGATTGATTCGTCTGTACGGCGTTTACGACCACTGAAAATAATAAAAATTAATTAATTAGTGATGAAATTTAAATTTTGGGTTGTGTTGTCATGGCAACTGGGAGAAAATTTGTTGTATCATTAAAAGTAATCAAGATAAATTGATTTTTTCGGTTTGAGGTTATAAATTATAAAGATTTCTCTTATATTGCCAAGTTGCAATGTTTTAGAGCTTTTAGTTTTGGTTTTATAGGCAAAAAACGGTCGAAACGGTTGAAAATGTTTGATTTTTATACGAAAAATTATGATAACTTCAAAACTATAGAAGAAAATAAGATGTTTTTTTTTGTTTGCTTAAAAATTAAGAAGAATTTTATAAAATTTGCAAGTTTTTATCATAAATATTCTTTAGTTAACTTTTTATTGACCAAAAACGCACAGAAAAGCTAAAAATATTCGATTTTGTTTAAAAAATTTGTTATAACTTGAAAAGTAATGAAGATAATTCACTTTTTTCTTTTTTAACTTATAAATCATAAAGATTTCTCTTATATTGTCAAGTTTCATTACTTTATAGCTTTTAGTTTAGGTTTTATGAACAAAAAACAATCGAAAATATTAAAATTATTCAATTTTTCACTCGAAAAATATTTATAGTTTAAAAACTACTTGAAATAAGTCACTTTTTTCTTTTTCTACTTAAAAGTTACAAAGAATTTGACCAAATTGTAAAGTTTTACTAGTCAACTTGTATTAGTTCAGATTTTATTAACCAAAAAACCCCAGAAAAGCCTGAAATACTAGATTTTGTTTAAAAAATTTGTTATAACTTAAAAACTAATGAAGATAATTAACTTTTTCTTTCTCAAACATATAAATCATAAACCTATCTCTTATATTACCAAATTTCACTACTTTATAGCTTCTAGTTCGGATTTTATGAACAAAAAACAATCAAGTAATACTTACATTATCCTAGGATCTGACGGCAGGCCAATACCAACTGGTACGGTGATAAGTTTGCCCTTAAGTCGGTCCAGGGCGATGAGCGTCTCCAATTCGGCGAGGCGTTGATCCGAAACACGTTTGATTCTGTAAACAAACATATACGAAATGATTAATTATTGCGTCACGCACACGTTGCCAGCGCGTGATAATTATAATTATAATTACAATCAGCTATCAGCTAACTGAGTTGAAGTTGCGCGGGTCACTTTCGACCAGGTTACTTGTCTAAAAATAACTAATCAAAAATTAAATTTATCCTCTGGACGCCATTTTGTTTCTTATTTTGTATTCGAAAACTACTCAAATATTGTTTACCACACGCGATTGATAATAACAATAACAATTCTTATTTGTTTATTAGAGGCTTGTCTATTCGCGGCCTGTGATTGGCTGATAATGAATCGAACGATTTGTTTTCGACACCAGAGATGAAAATAGAACATAAACAATGGTTATGTAAGTGCGCAAAGGGGTAAAAATGGCGTGTGTGTTGATAAAGTTGCCTACCATAAACTGTCACGGCTGTTATTTTGTATGTGATTGTTTGATTTTTCGTTTGTTTTGTGAATTGCGACATTTTATTAACGACTCAAGGCGAGAGCGTACCAGCGAGAGGTCATCGTCGCACTCGGCCGCAATATGGCCGCAACCAGCGCAAGTTCATCTCTCGCCGTACGACATGCGTGCGCGCGCGCTGACCTCTGCTAAATTTTTCGCCAGCGCCATCTGATCGCGTTATCTTCGAAGTAGAAAAAATCACAATGTCATTCCAGTCAGCCATTTTATTTATTACGGCCTGTGATGTAATAAAACTGCAAGATTACGCTTCTTGCGCTTTACTGGTTGTTTAATAGAAGAGAAACACGTTGAGGTATAAAAAGTGTAATGCGATTTTTGTGGTTTTTTGTTTATAACTTTTAAAGTATTATAGGTAGAGTGTTTTGTTTGGTGTTAAATGAAAGCTGGTTTAATGTGCTATTATTATTTATATTGTTTATTATACTGTGATAATTATTATTAGAGTTATAAGGGTTTAAAGTTAGTTTTTAGTTAAAAACTGAAATTTTTCTTTGGGCGGCCATATTGTTGATATTATGGATACTACAAACATGGCCGCTACTCATAATAAAGTCTCATTCGTCCACTATAAGTTGTTAAATAAATTATTTAATTTCCAATAATAGTTTATGAGATATTCGCGTTTAAAAACAATAAAAAATGGAAAAATTGAGAAAAACGCAAAAAATTAATAAAAATTTCCTAGTTTTTTGTTTATAACTTTTAAACTTTTAATCCAATTTGCCAAAATTTGGTATCAAATCAAAGACAATTTCAACCACTATTACCTTTAACAATTTCATAAATTTCCTATTGTTATTACTAAAGTTATAAACAATAAACTAATACTCCTCTAAAAATTAAAAATGCATCTTGTTATAATTACACTTCAAATACTCCCACATAAGTATTCCTAACCTTAAAACTTCCACGATTGCCATTAACAAAGTTTAATTGGCTTTCATGCAGGCGCGTATGCAATCGACGTCCTGTCATGCCACAACAGGACGCCAAAGATCCTGATTAGGTGCATTAAGACACACAAAGTGCAAACACCACGCGGCGGGCTTGACTTGCACATGGCTTGACTTGCCGTACACGCACCGAACATACCCAGCGCACAATTACCCTTGAGTGAATTTTTCCGTCCGCAGCGTGACACACTTTCCACGCGTTAATTACCAGCGATCGTACGCAAGTGTAGATCAAGTTCGACGTGCAGATAAATAGAATAAACAAAAGGCGGCGCGCGCGATTTAATTCAGCTTTTCATTGCGACACCACCGCACACACATCTGTAGTCACTTAAGTCACTCCAAATGTGATTTATTGCTCGCGATAAGACGATTATTTTCAATAAACGCGTACGCGCGATGTTTTATTTATTTATTGAATATATAATACAGTGTTATATCGCGAGTGAAACGTGTCGCAATCACGCGATATTTGCGCGAATTTAGAAAACGATTGTGCGATGTTTAAAACAACAATCGCGATGTTATCGGGCGGCGATTTGCGTCAAAAAACGCATGAAAATTGAAAAGTATCACGGCCGATTGCCGTTTATACTATGCAGATATAAATAACTATGAATATCATGCTGAAATTATCGCGTAGTAGTAGTAATTACATTATGTTAATTAATAAATGTGTAGAATTTATGATAGCCGAGATAAGAGAGTTCAAAAAATCGCAGACGAGACAAATTGCGACGGATGCGAGCGGAAATTGCGACGCCAAAAAGGGTAATTATGTCAGAAAAATTGGCAAATGTTAGTTTTTGTTTTATTTATGCGCGTGATTAGTAAAATTCACCATTGGCGTAATGAATGATTAATGTTTAATGTTTAAATTTTCAGGTTGAAACTAGTTATAACGAATTAATAAGCTCAAACCAGAGAAAACCAATTGTAGTTTATATGTATTATTATTAATATTATTGCTGATTGAATGGTTGCATAGAAACAAAAAGTGCAAGTGGTGCACAAATGAATCGTACGATTTTTTCGGTTTTTTTAAATGTGATTATCTCGAAAAGTGTTGAAATTATTATTATTATTTATATACTGATTGTTAGTAGATTAATGTGGGTTTAATATGTGTTCATGTTGGTTTTGTAACATTTATAACTTTAACAAAATACCTGATTAAAGAAAAAAATTGAATTTTTCAGAAAAAAAAAAATTGTTTAATTGTTTATAACTTTTGTAATAATAATAAGAAAATATTGATGTTGACAAAGAATGATAGTGGTTGAAATTGTCTTTAATTTGATACCAAATTTAGTAAATTTTAAGTAAAAGTTTATAAGTTATAAACAAAAAAACTAAGAAATTCGTATGTGTTATACGCATGTTTTTCATTTTTAATCATTTTCAAACGCGAATATCTCAAAAACTATTAATGAAAACTAAATAATCTATTCAACAACTTATAGTTGATGAATGAGACTTTAATATGTGCAGCGGCCATGTTAGTAATACCAACAACCTCAACAAAATGGCCGCCCAAACAAAAATGTCATATTTTTCACTAAAACCTAATTTTAAACGCTTATAACACTAAAAATAATTACGACAACATAATAAACTGTATAAATAATAATAGCGCATTAAACCAGCTTTCATTTAACCGCAAACAAAACACCCTACCTATAAAACTTAAAAAGTTATAAACAAAAAACCAATAAAAACTTTTTGTCAACACTTTCTTCACTACTCATTCTCCAATATAATATTACACCCGATCGCCGTTCAATACCGTCATAGACACCACTAAATAAAACTTCAAATCCAAACAAAAAAAAGCACACAACCCTTAACAGTCATGTTCACAATGTAAACACATCCAACCGCCCCCAGGTTCCACTACCACTTCAAAAACCTCAATAAAAATGCAGTCACGATTTTAATATAAATCCACGGCATTCAAAAACCTTCTCCACCCGAATAACACAAATAAATTTAAACATTTCGTGTACTTACCGATTTAATAACGGTTTCGCCTGCGTTTGCCGCACATTCGCCGCAATCAACACCGCCACCAGGATGACAACCAACACAATCTTCCTCATATTGTATAATAATTCGTGTGCAAACACACCAATTCCACTAGTCACTGGTTTGACACACTTCTTAATCTCAACCGATGATGATGATGTGCCTCTCGAATTGTTTGTTTACGTTTGTGACGCGCGTATTACAGGATTAATTTAACAACACTGGTTGCACGCGTCGGTAGTGGTTGAATGAACGTCACTGTTTACGTGTGTTGTGTGTTTGAAATACGTTAGCCGCTGGTTTTTCTGATAATTTCTGCGATCGTATACTTGTTGCGTCGTGTGGTTGTGGGTTTGTGAATGAAGTGTGCGCGGCTATTGCGGTTGTTTTATACGCCTGGTGGTGGTGTGGACGGCGGTGCGCGCGCGCCCCCCACGACTTCGCGAGGCGAATCTCCAATGAGATTCAGCACGCAGAATTCAGTTTTGAGTTGAGATCTTGTCCAGGGGGCGTGAATGCGTACTAGATGCAAGGTGATGATGAATCTAGTTCAGTGTAATTAGTAATAATTTTGATTTTGATTGATAACTTTTGAATGGATGATTGGATTTTTTAAAGTTTTGGGTTAAATTAAAGATAATTAACTGACGAATAAATTAATATGTTGTTTGTGTTTATAGCGTAATTAGTTTTGAAGTTATTTAAGATTAAAGTTTAAATTTTTAGTAAAAAAAAATTTTTTTGTTAAAATTTAAAATTTTTTAATTAAAAAACTAATTATCTAAATTTTTAAATTAAAATTTTGTTATTTACTTTAAAAACTGACGAAAATTTTGGATTTTTTTCATTTTTTCGTTGTAAATTTCTAATTTTTTTCATCACTTTCAGTAAGCCGACTTAACTTTGTGAAATATTGCATCAGACACTTTTACTAGTCTACATCCATAGTATTTGAAGCAACTAGCGCCTCCTACTTACTTAAATTACATGTACTTAGCTTGGCACCGAAAACATGTTCAGACATGTCTATTACCTCGAACGGATGTGCCAGGTAACACTACATGTGAATGTGATGATTGATTGCCATTCAAGACTTCCCAAAACTTCGTTGCGAAATTGCGCGAAACATTACTACAATACGCAAGTCACAAGTTCTATTGACTTAAGTTAAGTTGAGTAAACTTCTATGGAAGATTTCTGGAATTATTTGATAATATTTGGCGAGAAATGTTGCAAAAAATCATCAGAAAGACACAATTCTGACTTAAATAATATACAGGGTGATGACATAAATTCATCAAATATTTATAAATTCAATAAATTTAGCTGATGCATGTAATTATTATCCTGTATATGTAATTAGACACGTGTACTACGCATGCAATGCTGAGAAATGTGGACTTTGACAGCGCATGCTCAGCACACTTAGCAAATCCTAAGTCACTTCTATGACATTAGCCCGTCTGGGAGGTCTGACATGTTCATTCATGTCAGAAATTTCGAATTCTACGAGAAGGCGTGATCCACGTGATCGCATCGTCGAAATATTTCGCCAAATTCCGCGTATAATCTTAACCTCTCTTCGAGTTCAAACGAATCTCGTCTATATATTCGTAAAATGCGTGGAATTTACCTTTTGCCTTCGAATGGGATCAAAGTTATTGACCTGCGCAACGACCTTTTCTTTTCATTCATCATTGTATTTTTTGATTTCGATTTTTGCCAAACCGGAAATTACAATTTCAGGTAGAAGGTAGGAAATCTTCGAAAATTTCAAACGAATTTCATGATGCAACACAAAATGCGACTTAAGTCATTACAAAGTTATTCGCATCGCAGACACATAATTAATTTTAGATTTAATGGCCGATTCGGCGGCCATTAAATGCGTGTTGTAATCGCGCGCGCATTTTTTTTTTTCTCGCGTTTGGTGTGTTCGTTATGTTTTAATTACAAAATTGGAGTTTGTCCCGTGATTTCCGTTTAGTATAGCACATGATGCGCACTTTTGTCAAATAGAATTCACTTCAATATCAATTACATGCTCGGAATTATTATATGAATGAATCATGTGCGTGGACTTTGAACCTTTCGGAGAGACATGAGAGAGACTAACACGAACCAAAATTGATGATTCAAGTTCCTAATGTAAATAAATGTCAAAAAAATTAAAATAGAATTGGAAGATTTGATTTTAAGAATAAAAATGATAGAAAATTGGGTTTTTAAGTGTTTAAAATGTTTGTTTTACGCACTCGAGTAAAAAAGTGAAATATTATTGCTTGTAGAAGAAGTAAAAAGCAAAAAAGAAGTAAAAATTGAAAAATTTTGAGTTTAAAAGGCACTTAAGTCACATTTAAAGTAATTTAAGTGTTTAAAAGTATATTTTTATGCACTAGAGCAAAAAAGTATACTTTAAATGGTTCCGAATAGAATAATTTGTAAAAAATGAGTGAAAAATTAAGAAATTCTGCATTAAAAGCGAGTAAAAACCTTTTTTAAGGTAATTACAATGTGAAAAATGATACTTTTAAACACTGACAAGTTAAAAATACCATTTTAATAATCCTAATGACACACTACAACCGCAACAATCATTTTTTATCAAAAAATACTCATGTTATACCCAAAATTCTTCATTCTGCGTGTTAAAACCTCTAATTTTGCACACTACAACACAATATCCACGCTAACCTAAACATTTACCTATCCCTATTACTTGTCTGCAAGACAAAAATAAAAGAAAAACGCCTAGTTGTCCACTTTTTCGCACTTTGCCGTGTTTAACCCGATAAGTCGTGGCACAAACAAATAGGTCAATAAAGCGCAAACTTCTTTTGCGTGCGCACGTGTCGCCAAAACAAACGACGACGCGCGCTGCACTTCGCATTTCGCCTCCCCCGAGAATCGCGCCGGCAGCGCGGAGTAAACCTAAGCAAACGAGATTAGATCAAGAACTCAAAGCTGGAAAGCTCAACAAGTGCGTCAAGTCCGGGGCAGAAACAAAGCAGCAAAAATAATATACTCTTTTCCACTAAAATTGCGGCTTAAAATCGCCAATCAAAAGACCGCGCGCGCACAGGAAACTAACAGGAAAACAGGAGGGAGAGGGGGGAGAGATTGTGGCTGAAGGGAAAATCGGAAAGATTTATCGATGAAAAAGGAGGAAATTTAACAAGTCATGCGAATGCGAGCGGAATTAATCACGAATCCGGATCCCCGAGAGTCGGATGACTTTTCACAAATATAATAAATACCAAAAAAGAAAACGGGAAACATTTATCAAATGAAAATGATGAATTAAATTCGATTCCTTTGAAATTCACGTAATTATTTAGTATAGAAGTAGTTATTTCCATTTTTAAATGAGAGATGCTATAATTTGAAATTAAAATCTAAAGTTTTTTTAGAGAAAAATGAGTTTTAATGTTTATAACTTTAGTAATAATTATTGAAAAGTAATTATATTGATAAATAATGATAGTGGTTAAAGTTGTCTTTAATTTGATACCTAATTTAGTAAAATAAAAGCAAGAGTATAAAAGTTATAACAAAAAAACTAAGAAATTCGAGTAAAACTTTTTTGTCACGCAATATTTTGCATTTTTTATCATTTTCAAACGCGAATATCTGAAAAACTATTGATGGAAACAAAATGATTTAATTAACAACTTATAGTGGACGATTGAGATTTTAATATATGCAGCGGTCCTGTTTGTAGTACCCATAACCTCAATAAAATGGCCGCCCAAACAAAAATTTCAATTTTTTCAATAAAAATAAATTTTAAACTCGTATAACTCCAATAATAATTATGACAACTTAATAAACTATATAAATAATAATAGCGCATAAAACCAGCTTTCATTTAACACCAAATAAAATAAAATAGCAATAATACTTTAAAAGTTATAAACAAAAAACTATGAATTTCGTATTAAACTTTTCCTATCACTCTATTTTTTCGTGGGTTTTTTTCACATAATCAATAAAATCACTACACGTCATAAAATGAAACAAAATAATTAAAACTGTGGGGATCTTTACCCAAAGCTTATTTCTGTATTTCAAAACTTTATAACTTTCTTCATCTTTATTGTATACCGTAATTCTTCATCCAAAATTCCCAAATTTCCTAATATCTTTTATTACCTTGAAAAACCTAATCCCCGAGTCGGACGGTTTGGCACGACTCGGATTCCCAGAATCCAATGGTCAGCTTTCCCTCTCTTCAATGTCATACACTTTCTTCTACCAATCCAATCTATTACTTTCTTCCTACTTCCAAATTTCTTGTCACCACCCATCAACCTGAAGGGTTGCTGGTGGGTGACAAGGGTTTAGGAAGGACAGTTCTTGACATTACTTCAAACACTACAGTTCTTAACTATTCTTCTCTACAATACTTCTTAACTATACTTCTTCAAGACTTCTTAATAAACATTGTTCGTGATAATTAAACATCGTGTCTTTTACTCACTCATCAATTATAACATTTGCACTCACTCACCGATCCCACAAAACTAATAAATTTAATCTCCCTATCGATGTTAATAAAACTAAAACGCTGGAAAACCACGATGACAATTGCAAATCACCAGTCAGCAAAAAAAGATTCTAATCGAGATATTTGCATAGCACACGCGCGAATCGTAAATATGATAAACGCAAAGATAAAAACACCCTAAACAGATGTCGACTTTTAATTGAGTTATTGTGTCCTCGAATTAATCACATTTCACAAATATCTCACGTAAAACGCGCCAATAATCAAACTAGCGCAAATAAATATTAATATAGAAAGTGAAAACAAAAATCAAATCAAACAATAACTAATTGTTATAAATTTTATCAAAAAAAAACTAAAAAATATATTAAAACTGAACCAAAATAATGGTAATTGTTATTAATAATACAATTTCCCATTTACCCGAATAATACGCATTTTTCCACCGGAAATAAACCGCACACGTGTTTATATCTTGTTTATATCAGCCATTATCATTGTTATGGTAATATCACTATTATCCAACACAGAATACTGATGATAGCGATGATAAAGATGATCTTTTCATCCATTACACTAAGCTGACATTAATTACAAACACGTTTTACGCCTACGTTTAAATTCTAATGACGCAAACTTTCCTTTCTCTTTTATATTTTAGATTTCTATCGTTTTTCTTTTCCTCATAGGAACCTATTTTAACGGCGTGTTTATATTGATAGATCGAAGATTACACGCTGATGAAATTATCGTGAGAGCTCTATACATCGATCAACATAATCAAATTATGTATTATTTTACCTTTTCATGTATTTTCCGTAAATTTTCATTTTGCAACGCGTGGTACAGGGTGTTTAAGAAAGAAAATCTCTAGTTGAAACAAAGAGCCCACAAAACTCACAAATACCGGCGATTTTCTACGTAGTGTTAGGAAAACTAATATACATGGTGTTACAAAAAGAAAACTTTAGAAACTACAAAGGGAGTTAATATTCACAACATGAAGAGGGAAATTTACAAATAAACAACAATATTTTAATATATTGAGAATGTATATTTATTAATTGATGCATCAACTGCATAAAGTAACCGACGGGTAAAGCATCATCATAAATTGATAGAATATCCTGCGGAAAACATTCAAATCAGCTGACGGCAAGCGACGGCGCGTAGCAATACAATTGTTAGAGAGGATAAAAATAACTATTGTTCATTTTTGTAAATGTTAAGACGTACAGAGACTATGAAAACGAAAACGTGTAAAATTTTACTAGGTCAACAAGAAACTTCTTAATTTAATTATGCTAAGGAGTGCAAATAGATTAAAAACATTCACGTGTTCTGCGAAAAGACGGCCGAGCCGACGGCCGACGGCAAAGTGAGCGTGGTCGACCATATGAATATTGCCAATAATAATAATCTTCAGATACTTTTGTAAAACAGTATTTGTAGTAATTAAATCATCCATGTTATTTTCGGAAACGGAACTAAGAATTCTGATAAAAATGCTACATACCATGTGTTTTTAATTTGCAAGATGATACATGCAAATTTCATATCACTCAAATAGAATATTCAATTTAAGTTAAACCGGCGTAAGTTTCCGTAAAAAATTTAATTACACACCTACCTATGCATTGATGAGGGGATTTTATATCCTGGAATATATTCTATCACCTGAAAACACACGCACAGATTGATGGACACTAATTTCTTATTTAAGGAGACTCCAAACGTGACAAAGCATTAAACAAATCAGGCACACATGCCCATTGCGAATATTTTGCTGATGGTCAAAAAAGTACCCGACGATTAATCCAATTAAAACCTCAAAACGCATGGCGATTAGAGAGACACGTTCGCGGACCACGCGGTGAAACGACTGCCGTGTGCGCTTTGCTTAGTCAGGTACAAGGCTGGTACGAAGCGATAATACGCGTCAGTCGAACAAAAAAAGTTGTTTATACACAAACGTACTGATAAACTCGTAGTTGAAAAGACCAAACTAAAATATCACAATGTTGAAATAACCGACATACACGAAATCTACTTTTACTTTCAATATTTCTCAGCATAGGAAAAGAATTAATTGAATTTGGAATGTCCTAAGATTGAGAAAAACAGAAAATTAATTTTCCATTACAAATAATGTATATGTATATACATAGGCTAATGGGCTACTACATAGGCTACTAGGCTAATGATATTTATTATTTATTTATTATAAGCTAGTAGCTACAATTAAATAGTCGATTTATAATCAAATATAACGCAAATTTAAAAAAAAAACAGAAGTCCGAATAAACAATACGAGTTGCTGGCTCACGACCGACACGAAACTGGCTGAATCGATAGCACAAGCCGTAGCCGTGCAAGCAACAGTAAGTAAGAAAGTAAGAAATGCCCAAATGTGTGCATGTGCACGAATTGCATTTGGCACCAGTGCCAGTTTTAGCACTACCAGCGCCCTGAACGAGATTTCTACGGCGCTCCCTAACTGCAATTCAAACCCATACGAAAAAACCGGCCAAGTGCGAGTCGGCGCCCCTTAAAGTCCGGCGCCCTTGCCCTAACGCCGGTACTGTATGTTCATGAAAGAATTGAAGAATATTTGCTTAAATTTACAATGCTAATATAATAAACAGCAACGGTGTGTTTTGATTCCACGAAATAAAGATTCGATACCTGCAGGTAAACAAACTTATCTCTTGCGCGAAATCGCGTGATCGCACACGGACACGGTGTGCACTCACTACCACCAACAAGCAATATTTAATGCAAAACCGTACATCGTAGCGCCATCTAACCTTTGAAAATATTTATCAACTTCAAAACACATTTATCAAATATGCAACAAAAATATGCAAACACCGCGTTCGCGGGTTATAGCTAAAAAACTACAATTCCTAGCGCAACGAGTACAAGTGCGTATACACACAACTATCAATATAACTCGCGTCACGGAATTTTCTGGCAATAAATTTTAATACTGGGAGATACAAAATTAAATTCTGCATCAGGGAACATAATTTCGAATTTACTGTGACACCGCGTTCGCGGGTTATAGCAAAAAAACTACAATTCCTAGCGCAACGAGTACAAGTGCGTATACACACAACTATCAATATAACTCGCGTCACGGAATTTTCTGGCAATAAATTTCTATACTGGGAGATACAAAATTAAATTCTGCATCAGGGAACATAATTTCGAATTTACTGTGACACCGCGTTCGCGGGTTATAGCAAAAAAACTACAATTCCTAGCGCAACGAGTACAAGTGCGTATAAACACAACTATCAATATAACTCGCGTCACGGAATTTTCTGGCAATACATTTTTATACTGGGAGATACAAAATTAAATTCTGCATCAGGAAACATAATTTCGAATTTACTATGACACCGCGTTCGCGGGTTATAGCTAAAAAACTACAATTCCTAGCGCAACGAGTACAAGTGCGTATACACACAACTATCAATATAACTCGCGTCACGGAATTTTCTGGCAATAAATTTAAATACTGGGAGATACAAAATTAAATTCTGCATCAGGGAACATAATTTCGAATTTACTGTGACACCGCGTTCGCGTGTTATAGCAAGAAAACTACAATTCCTAGCGCAACGAGTACAAGTGCGTATACACACAACTATCAATATAACTCGCGGAATTTTCTGGCAGAACAAGCAGCAGAGCGAGACGCACGCGATCTTGTGCACAAAATGCAATAGACACGATACCGGTGAGAGGATAGCAACGACAACACGCGGTAATCTTGGACGTTGCTATTCGCACGGCGATAAGAAAGTGTAGATCGTGTTGAAAACAAACACAATTGTCGTGTCGAATGTTCACGTTCGCTGATAAATATATATATAAACAAATCAATTCTATTTTACGAGTTTTATTTCATGCTATTCCCATATGAATGATACATGGTCCCGGAATTTAGATTAAGTATAAAAATTAATAAAAAATTAAAATTTCATTAATGTAATTCTGATTTCTTATGTTGCCCAATTGTCAAATTTTACATCAAAGATTACAGTGATATTTAATTCGCACACGCATTGTTTCTCGTTATCAAACTACTTTGCAGAACAACAATAAAACGTAGAACTAAACTGAAATCTATGTTTTATGTTTTATAAATGATGAAATTATTTTACTTACCGGTAAATGGAAAACGGTAAATCGACAAGAAGTTGGCAGATACTGAAATAAATGAGAAACAAAATATTAGTTACAATATTTCGTGCTATGTTGGAATGGATCAGAGTTCCGTCGGAACCCAAACTTTGAATGAAAATTCTTGTTATTCGTATAATAATCATAGAAATGACAATATTTACCTGATAGCACATTAGTCCATGCTCTTCTATTGATGACAAAATGGTTTTTCACAAATCAATTAATTATTAGCGTTCACAAAACATCGCCGGCCGTTGTCCGACGGCAACGGACTCACAAACACGTGGATAAATTAAACGCGCAAAATTTAGAATTAACAAGATTACACACGTGGTAAATTGCGAATAAAAGATGAAACACATTTATAAACACTAATTATCACCGAAGATCAAGAAATATAACACGATGTACCGAATTTGCAACAACGAATAACACAAACCGAATGTGTGGAATGTGCGCTCGTCGTTATCGCACAGGTGCAACAAAACAAAATTCTCTCGCTGGAATATTTCGAGATAAATCTACATCGTTGCGCCATCTGAGAACACTTTAAAATACCTCACAAAGCAACAAAGTGTTTCAAACAGTGGGCGCGCATGTGAGTCAGTGCGAAATTGTCTATGAGGCAGTGAGTGGTGTGATACACGTACACGCAAGTATGCAAGCACCACTCAGTCAAAATGAATAGCAATTTTACGCACAAATGCAATAAGTCAAACCTAGATGAGGCGTGATGTTCATATTTTCAAGTGTTATTGAATGTTTATATATTGAATATTGAAGAATACATGAATAATTATTTATCCTTCAATACATAAACATTATATAATCGACGCAGAATTTAATTCTGCATCATTATGACCCAGTTCTCTCACAAAAATGAAAATAAAACGCAACAAATTAAATAATCGTAGTAACATTAATTTTAAAAACAATGGAAACATTATATGCAATTAACAAACAAACATATGTACAAATGTGATATTACAGTTGTATGCCAATCAACAGTTACGGAACAAATTAGCAGAAAGAGAGTTTCATTCCTTAATCAACTGACGGCGGTCCTTATCAAGACTGAGGTGAACAATCTCATCATCAGAGGAACTCATATTGGAACCTGCGTCGTATTCATCGTCGTCATCATCAAAATATGGTCTAGTGATTGGTTTATCAAAGTCTAAAAACGTAAAAACATAAATAAAACATATAACCACATTTAAATTAAGTTTCCTTCCCCACACACAAACCTTTTATTGATCCTAAAAACGATTTCTCATCTAGCGAGTCCTGCGGCAGACGTCCGTACCGCAAATTACCGTAATCCTTATTATCCTTGCAGCAGATACAACAAAATGTGGCGCATCCAACAATCACGAAGAGAATTATTACTAAAAACAAACTGTTATGAAACAAACAACAAAAATATAACATCATACATACCAATAAATAAAATAAAAATATTTCTAGGCATTCCCCACACATGTTCATCCCTTATAAGCGTAAAAACCAATAAGTTCTGCTTCACATCGCTGACACTCACGTATTTCACCATCGTTTCATACCCACTGGCAACCACAGTCACTGTATACTGCCCAGCCGTCAACGCAATCGAATAATTCCCAACCGAACCAGACAACACGCTAAAACCTACTTCTTTTACGGTGATATTTGCGTTCGGCACCGGGTTATCATGATTATCACGAATGAATCCGCCAAGTCCAGATCTGCTACCATCAGCCGAGTGCAATTCAGCCACTGGCGTCGTCCCCGCAAACGACATCTTCACATCATACCTGCTCATCTTATCCTTCTCAATGTGAATATTCATCACAACCGGATTGTAATTATGACACACCACCTCGACGGCATATTCGCCAACAGGCAGCATCACTTTAAACGCGCCAGAGACATGCCCAACTTCAAAAACTTGATTCAAAGCCGGAATCATAACACTAGCGTTCTTCATCTTGTTGCCTTGAATGTCCGTCACTGCGCCGTAGAAACCAGTGCGTACCTGCCGCAGGAAAGCCACAGAAGGTGCGAGTACCTCACGCCAAATCCACGGCACATTACTGATGGCAGGATAATCACAGCAAGAGACTTTCGCTGTGAACATCGGCAGGCCAAACTCAGTGAGCACATGCTCGGTGAGATTCGCGTCTGTGCCTACTGATTGCCCATTGGGGCATCCTTGTGTTACTTTGAAATTCTCCAAATACCCTGCGGTGTACTTGTGAAACGGCTCATGACGCGGATAACTAATAAAACGTAAATAATTTATAAACATTCATAATACATAGTTATAACTTTAAACTTACATTAATCCACGTTGTCCACCTTCAAAGTTCAAAATTAAATCAAACTTCTCATCGAGTAGCATATGCTTGAACGCGTTGACGATATGATTCTGCGGATTGCCGTTCATGCGCCCTTCACCAATTAACTGACTTCCTACCTGTTTGAAATCAGCAGTGATCGGATTACATCTATAATCCGGTTTCTCATTACCCGATGCTTCTTTATCGAAATCACCCCAAATGTTTTCGAAGTGCACATCGATCACAGGCACCAAGTGAAACACGGCGTTTCGCATCATGTCGACAATATTCGGATCGCCAAACTTATGCCCTTGTAGCAAATGTCTTGCTAGATTCACCACCAGTTCCCTACCCACCGGCTGCGTCGCGAACAGATTACCTATAATCGCGACGTGCAGTTTACCTTCATCACTCGCACGTATTTTATCACTAATTTTCAGTGAATGTATCGTCATGGATATATAATCATCCCCAGCTTCGAATTCAGCCGCGTCGGGATACCGGTTCTCCAACGCGGCCATCGTTGAATACAACTCACTATTGCTGTGATATTTCGGTTTGTAGAGGTTTTCTGTCACGCCGAAATCATACGCGCTAGACCAATGAATCGGATCGTCTTTCATAAGCGTAAAATTCACCTGCACGTGCCCGGATGCAGGCACAGTCACAAGTTGCGTATACGCTTCGTATCCTCGCGCAGAAGCCGTGATATTATAACTACCAGGTATCAAAACTCTGTAGAAATCACCAGTTGGTGCAGCGCGTATCACATGATTGATTCCATCAATGGTTATCTCCGCCGATGGGATAACATGTCCGATTGTTGTAAAAACAAAACCCGAAATACCTTTGTGTACTTCTTCCATATACGCCAATAATGCTTCTTTGTTATCCGTCCAATACTCGGGTAGTTCACTAGCAATTGGGAATTTAGTACAGCCCAATTCTAGGGTGATTTCCATGCAACCAGCGACTAAATAATTCCAGTCCTGCATGCCGCCCGTGACGGAATACCACTGCGCACCGTTGGTAATACCACCATCAAAGTGCTCCTTCGGGAACAGCGGGCAAGGACGCCCAAGGTGCATCTTCTTATGCGCGTTGGAATATACTTTTGCCAGATGCTGGAATGTCGGGTCATCCGGAGATGGATTGGGGATATTTCCCGGTGATTTTCCGGGCGTATCATCATAGGGGTAATTCGCCACGAGTGCGCCATTGTGTAAATTTGCAGACAGGACGAAATTCTCCGACAGTATCCAGTCCATGACGGCTTGTGTTTCAGGTTCACGGATTTTATTAAACTAAAAACATAAAAATGTTAAAAATAAAGTGTTAATTAATGTTTTATGAATAAATAAATATCTTACATGGTTAAGAACATATTGATCTGGGAAGTTGCGGTTTAAATCAACGCCATGTGCGTTTGCACGACCTTGAATACCATCAGCATCACCTAAAACACAAAAACAATCAAATTATTTCCTAAAAAACATATTATTTTATTATGTACCTTCAATACCCTTCTCGTACCCATCCGGATTCATACTCGGCATTAAATGAATCCGTGTTGTATTTACAATACGCGTAACTCTCTCATCCTCCAGATAATTCTCGCAGAGATATTTAATCAACATCAGGAGTAATTCCCTGCCGACCACTTCGTTACCATGCATGTTTGCGACGTATTTAAACTCCGGTTTACCTAAAAACATTAATAATCAATAGTTTATTATGTTTATGTAGTGTTTTGCTTTGTTTTATACCTGCAACATGTTTATCTGGTGTGTTGCCAATGATAAACACAAATAATTCTCGGCCCTGCACCGATTTGCCGATGCTTTTCATCCGCGTGATGTTCGGATACGACTTGGCGTATTCCTCCAGAAAGTGGCGCATTGCATCGTAGTGATGATGCCGCATGTCTCCCGCACTGATTTGCCCGGCGCGCGCGTCGCGCACCTCCTGGAGCTGCTGATACGGCCGGACCGCACCTAGACGATCATCATTCTTTCAGATCATTCGCTCAAAACACACCGGTGCGCACAAGCCAAACCATCATTCGCATCATAATCCAACACAAACACAATTCTTCTGCTTCAAGTGAAAGTTTATTCTTCAATACATGTACATTTTTCTTTTTTCTAACACACACACGTGTAATTGAAAGAGAGAAAAAGAGAGCAATAGAGAATTAAATAAACATTTCAACTCGAAGTGCTTGCAATGCCTGTATACATTATTAAAAATACTTTGTTCGTTTTGTCTGCAGTGTATGTAGTGTCTCTAATCGCCTAAACAACAATCAATATAACTAACTAGGTTGTCTTTTTGTTCTACCTTGGCTTGTTTGTCTTTTAATCTAGAGTATCACGTATGATTTTGGCACCAATTTACCAATGTGTTTGTACGTACGCGAATGGCTTCTGTGGGGAGCTTTCTGCCACGCTAACATTTAAAGCTACAAGTTCATTGCTAAGAGATTCGTAAATCAGATTTGATCGTTTGTGTTGTGTGTTGAATTGTTGCAATTGCTTAAGTCATTCATTGTCACCACAACCTTAAGTAAGTTTAAGTAAATATAAATTAAATATTAAATTAATCCATCACCAATGAGACGCCAACTGGTTAACACTAAACCTAAGGAATGTATGTGTGTATTCGTTTGTGTTTCGAGTATTAATTTGCTAGAGCTAGGAGCGGAAAGTTTAAAGCCTCTTGCAAGGAATTGCGTGTGTGAAGAGAGTGCAGCGTCGCCAATTCGCTCTCATTTACTTCCAAAACCAACTGCCGTTACCGCTCTTCGTGTTGTCGTTACCTTTTGCGTTCTCGTCGGGCGCGTGACGCTCGAGGATGAAATGCTGGATGCTGGTTCGACCCTCCTCCACTTGAACACTCACCGGATCCGACGTTTTATACCTGAAAAATCAACAAAAATTTAATCTCTAATTAAAAATTATATTTTTGTCTTACCCGTAAGCCGTTGCATACATACTGTATGTGCCAGGCAATAACAATCGCCAATACTCGCCGCGATTCGATGTTGTAATGTTATGATTAAGTCCTTCGACGACCACATCCGCATCCAACACCGGCTCGCCGGCTTTATCATTGACCAAACCTTTGACACCCCAGTGCGATGCTTCGATGAACGCCAACATGGGTTCTTTATTAATGCGCCACTCGCGCGGCATTACTTTCGCCCATGGGAATTTACAGCAGCTGAGTTCAAAGGTGACTTCAAAGCAATTGGAATGCACATAGTTGAAATCTTGCATTCCACCTAAAACAAACAACAATATTTATGTAATAATCTTAATTAAATATAAATATTGTATTTATTGTTACCTCGTACTTCATACCAGAATGCACCGTTAGTAATACCATTGACAAACGTGTCCGGCTTACACTCAGTGCCCTTCTTCATCGACTCATGTCGCTGAGAATAAGTCAACGCCAGCTTTTTAAAGACACCATCATCCGGCGATAAACTCTCACGACAGCATGTCCGCTTGGAGGCAGAGTCGTCATACGGATAGGAAGCAACAACTGCGCCTCCGTGGAGATTACCCGACAAAACAAACGGCCGCGAGATGATCCAAGTCATAATGGCGACTGTTTCCGGCTGTCTACCAGCCAAAATCGTGCCAATTCGCACCGGGTCGAATTGATCGGGGAAATCTCGGTTGAGATCGACGTTATTCTCATTCTGACGTCCTACATATCTATCCTTACTCTCACACATACCCTCCTGGAATAAGAAATATTTTAGTAAAGAATATCTGATCTTTTTATGATATTTACCTGAGAATTTTCATAGCCATCCGGATTCATAGAAGGCATTAAATAAATATCTGTAGTATTGACCAGCCTGGTAATCCTCTCATCTACCCCATAGTTACTGAGCAAGTATTGCGCCAGATAAATAGTCAGCTGTCTGCCGACGCTCTCGTCGCCGTGCATGTTAGCGACGTATTTAAACATCGGCGTGAGCAGCTGCCGTTCTTGCCGGACATTGGCGTTGATCTCCAGCGCCCATAACTCGCGGTTCTTCACCGACCGCCCGACGGAGGTGAGCTTGGCGAGGTTCGGGTAGTCCGCCTCCAGTTTACGGAAGAGTGTCGTAAGCTGGTCATAGTTGTGGTAGCGTGGATGCTCGAGGAAACTCTCGTTAAGGTCGCCGTTGCGCGACAAACTCGCCGAGAGCGAGTCTTGGACGTGCAGAAGACAACTTACGAGCGTGAGTACGCATAACGACTTGAACATGTTGCCAGCTGGTGATGTGTCGCGCACGCGACACACGATGATGAGTATAATATATTCGGTATATCACAGATGTTTCTTTGTTGAGAATGTTTCTACCTCTGCTCGCTGATCATTCTTCGCCAGTTGTTCACCGTTGCGCGAGCAGCGCCATTTTTTGTTGACGTATGACGTATGGCTAACGGTACATTAGAAATATACCGAGTGTTTCTAATAATATACCATTGTGGCTATTGCACATGCGCACACGTGGCGAAATATTCCTGCAATAAATTCAAAACCCACAGGATGTTCTTCGGCGCCGGCGCGCTGATTAAATAACGAAACAAGCGGCCGCGCGTTTCCTGCTGATAACGCAGGAAAATCGCCGCACAGAGTGTGCGCATTCTTCGTAGCAGCTCGCGCGCCTCCTGATCGATCGCGTTTTCAAGGTGGTCGGTGCGGTCGGTGTGGCTGGTGCGCCGCGGAAAAAAACACACGTCCTGTTTCCCCAAGGATGACGATCAGCGTGCCGCCCCCAGACAACTAGACGCGCTCGCGACGCGTACAAATGTTCACACATGCCTACCTCGCCGCGCGAAACAGCATCAACAGCATGGTAGCGGACGACGAGCACAAGGCGCGCCTGCTGGCGACGGTCAAGAAGGAAGTCAAGCAGGTGATGGAGGAGTCCGTCACGCGGAAACACATCCACGAGGATAGCGGTTCGGTGACGGCGCTGTGTGCCGCCGTGGAGGCTTGCCTCTCTCAAGGTCAGCATTTCCTAAAAAACAATAAAATGTTAAGTATTTAATAAATCTCCTGTTATCCTTATTCCTTCAACAGGATTAAGACGTAGAGCGTTAGGATTGTTTAAAACTTCAAGCACCACAGCTCTCCTGCATAAAATCGCTAAACACTGCGAGGAAGCCGCGGTGATTTCACGCAGAGTGCAAGAAATCGAAAACGCGGACCCGACACGCCGTTCCAGTTCGAGTAGCGACAGCGTGACAAAACCCACGCTTAAAAAAGGAGTCTCCTTACCATCGGTGGCACCCATCCCCAAATATCTCTGGCTGCGACTGGCGCTCTTCGAGAAACAACTTGCGAAAATCATCGATCATTTGGTGACCAACGCAAGCAAATATTACGATAAAGACGCGCTGGTTGCCGATGATGATTTCGGTAACATTCTTTCTTCTCTACTGGTGGGTCCCTGCGCATTAGACTATTCACGGGCTAGAAATCACGATCATTACTATACGGATCCACCAGCTGACGAACTAGTAAGTATTTTCCCCACAAATTTATATTAAAAAAATACAAAATATAAACTTACTTTGTGTATTCCAGGTGCAACGAAGTAAAATTTCCAGCTCGCACTCAACCCCGCCCCCTGTGCGACGCCCAATTGACTTTAAACGATCACTCAACACCTCCGCCGAAGAATGTGTCAACCGGCCGACGTCGCAGTACGCCAAGGACTACGTCGAAAGCCTGCATCAAAACAACAAAGCAACTTTACTCTTCGGGAAAAACAATGTACACGTGCTACCACCGAGCGCAAATGAACAAATGCCCGGGTATCTTGGCCTGTACCAAAACGCGCATTGTTTGGTCATAAAATGGACGCCGAATCAGCTAATGAACGGCGGCACGGCAGAAGAAGTGCACGATACAAGTATCTATTGGGATTATGCTCTACAAGTGCGTTTAGATGAGATTGTCTACGTGCATTGCCACCAGGACTCCGAATCAGGCGGGACGGTTATCCTCGTTGGACAAGATGGCGTCCAACGTCCGCCGATTCACTTCCCGAAAGGTGGCCACATGCTCGCGTTCCTCAGCTGCATCGAAACCGGTTTACTTCCGCGCGGACGTTTGGATCCGCCATTGTGGTCACAGCGTGGCGGGCAGAATAAGAAAAAGAAACGTCCGCTGCCCGCACTCGCCGAGACAGAAGAAATGAACAAGGATTATGTTTTCCGGATCATCGACAACCTCAACTCAAACATGACCATACCCAAGAGGAATGAGTTGATGGATACGCACGCGAAACTACCGACAAAGATGCGTGTGCAGTTGGCGTCTTCATCGACCAGTTCGGAGAGTTCCACGAAGAGTTTCAGTATGGATCAAGCGCAGTTGGGGCCGCCGTCACCGCCCACAGTCTGTATACGCGCTGTATGTGATTCTATGAAGCGGCAGATTATCTCACGCGCTTTCTACGGATGGTTGGCGTATTGCAGACACTTGAATACAGTCCGGACGCATCTGAGCGGATTAGTGAATACTGAAATCATCAACGATGAAGGCGCAAAAGATGGTATCACACCGGAAAAATGGTCTGAATTATGCGCGGACGGTGTATGTGCCAATGGCGCTGAAGTTTTCCGATTGGCGTATTTCGGTGGTGTTGCAAATGATGACCTCCGACGTGAAATATGGCCGTATTTATTAGGCCATTGGAAATTCGGCAGTACGATTGACGAACGCAATGTACTTAATGAAGAAACAAAACAAGCTTATGAAAACACCATGAGTGAATGGCTTGCGGTGGAAGCCATAGTCAAACAACGCGATAAGGAAACGCAGGCGATCGCCATTGCGAAACTCAGCAGTGAGAGTGTCAGTGGTGATCAAGCACCGCATAAAATCCCCAGCGAGTTGAGCAATGAAGTGTTTGAAGACGACGTCAGCGACTACGAATACATTTCAAACGAAGAACTATCATCAAACGACGAGGAAAACGACCCAGGAGATGAAAAAGATGCAAAACCGAATAATAAAAAACCAAAGAAACAAAACACGATCAAATACACCGGAAGTGATGGCGAGTGTGAAGGTGACGCTGAAGAAGCGTCAATTGCGTTATGCGCAGAGGATGAAAACAACGCGCAACCCACCTGTTTCGATGTGCACGAAGTAATCGTGACGAATGCGAGCGTCGATATCTGCATGGGCATCGACAAAGACGGTAATCTAACCTCTGATTTGGATTCCGTGCAGGAGGAGGCGGCCATGTTGGATTCCTGCTTGGAGACGCACGGATTAGTATCACCCGCGTGCGTATCACCAGCCAGCAGCAATGGCGGCGTCTACAGCGTAAGAACTATAAAAAAAATAAACAAAAATATACAAAAAATCTACTTTTACATTGTTTTTAGACCGAATTACTGAATAACTTCGGATTAAACTTACATAGAATCGAAAAGGACGTCCAGCGTTGCGATAGAAACTTCTGGTACTTTGCCGGAGAGAATCTGGATAAGTTACGCAATGTTATGTGCACGTAAGTATGCAAAAAACCAAACTAAACACACAAAACTAAATTGAATAATGTTATAGTTACGTCTGGGAGCATTTGGACATTGGTTACATGCAAGGCATGTGCGATCTAGTCGCGCCACTCCTCGTCATCTTCAACGACGAGAGTTTAACCTACGCGTGCTTCTGTCACCTGATGGAGCGCATGATCGAGAACTTCCCCAATGGCAACGCGATGGACTGCCACTTCGCCAACATGCGCTCGCTGATTCAGATCCTCGACTCCGAGATGTACGAGTTGATGCACGCGCATGGCGACTACACACATTTCTACTTCTGCTATCGCTGGTTCCTGCTGGATTTCAAGCGCGAGCTGGTCTATGATGATGTCTACGCGGCGTGGGAGACCATCTGGGCGGCGCAGCGCATTTCCTCCGGACATTTCGTCCTGTTTCTCGCGCTGGCATTCCTGGAAACATACAGAGATATTATTCTAGGCAATTGTATGGATTTCACGGACATCATCAAGTTTTTCAATGGTAAAATTGCTTTCTTTTAGTGAGAAGTTGTTATTTTTGTGTTTTCTTTTGTTTTAGAAATGGCCGAAAGACACGATGCAGCGTCAGTGATCAAACTAGCGCGTGAATTGGTGCTACAATTACAACTGCTCATCGAGAACAAGTAAAAAAAGCCTAAGAAACAAGTGAGTATCGATGGTTGTTGACCTAAGAAACAAACATTTACATCCCTAGTATTCATTTCTATACATATGACTAGTTTTGATTTCTGTGCGCGAGCGGACGAACACAAACTTTATGTGCCTTTTTTATATATTGAAAGTTGACTACCGGTTTTGCGATTTGATCACATTATGACTACATAACCTCCACACTGTTTAAAAACACTTAAACACTTTATCTATACATACAATGAAATAAAAACTACAAATGGAATAGAGAATTATATTTATATACGCGGTGTGTGTGCTGCGACGCGCCCGGGCGAGTCGATAAACTAACAAAAACACAAACTATCTACACTAAAAATGAATGTATAGAGAAATCTAAGAATATCTAAACATAGCTATATAGTTAATATTTTCATTCAATGTTTCATATTATATATAGCAGATATATTTTTATTATATAAACAATGCAATGTCTCAAAATCGTTGAAACCTGTGTGCCAAAGATGTTGATTTCGATTGAGTTTTCAAAATGGCCGACAAATGAGTTACGCCAAGTTACGGGTAAAAAATTTATTAGAACACAAAGAGAACTATTAACGATCGTACACTTGATGTAAATATAATAACATATCACTTGTATCTTGTACTTATATGTTCAGGGTTGAGAAATTCGCAGTTATTCTGTTCTATCATCAAGTTTTCGGTTAGAAAATGAATGCAAGTTGAATTTGTGAATGCGGAGCGACACAAAACAGAAAAATTACTCTATTGTAGATTAAACTATGCAGAATATCATAAAGTGTGGTCTTGTTTTTTACCTTTATCCTAATGATGAAATTCCGGCACTTTTTTACTAACTTTTGGCACGAACTAAACAACTTTGTGACTTGTCGAATGAGTCGACAACTTTTTAAACATAAATCTAGGGAATTATTTTTTACATCTAGGGTTTAAATGTGCGCATGCGCAGTAACAAGCGCGCCTCCTTACTCGCTCCATCGTGCGCTACACTCTCTCACTTGTTCTTTCACTTTGTGGCTCCTCACAAACATGGCACCGGTGAGTTTTCTCTCCGCACGAAAATCGTGCAAAACTTTGAAATCAAACCTCGCATCGTTAAAATACGAGCGTGGTGCGATGTTTAATTACCTGACCTGCTTACGAATCCAACTTTTCGTGGAGTTGTCACGCTGATGGCGTCGATATTCCATGATTTGTTCGAGATTTCCTGCCTCCTTAATGGAGGTTATGGCATTCTGGTAGAAACACAACTTAAATAATTTTTGTTGTGGATTCCAGACAAAGCCCGTTGTGCCCGCCAAGGCCGGCAAGAAGCAGCACATCCGCGGCAAGGGTATGAAGAAGAAGAAGGTCGCACTTCGTTTCACCATCGACTGCACTCATCCCGTCGAAGATACTATTCTGGATGTTGCCAATTTTGTAAGTATAAACATCATTTCTCCCAAAAAACACATGACACTCATGATATCATGTAATTTTATAGGAAAAATACCTCTTGGAGAGGATTAAGGTCAATGGCAAGACCAACAACATGGGCAAAGATGTCACCCTAGGACGCGAAAAGAACACCAAACTGGTGCTCACCTCCGATATTCCATTCTCAAAGAGGTATCTGAAGTACCTCACCAAGAAGTACTTGAAGAAGAACAACTTGAGAGACTGGCTCAGGGTGGTTGCATCTGGCAAGGACAAATATGAGTTGAGATACTTCCAGATCAACAACCAAGATGATGATGACGATGAAGATAACGATTAAGTTAATGTCATTATCACTTATTTGATAATAATAAACCTATAAAACGTTTAAAATTTGTTATTTTTACTTGATTCTTTGTAAAACCTAATCATGTTTTTGTGTAAATGCGTTTCGTGTATGTTGGGTTGCCTACTTTGCAGGTATAGAGTGGTTTTTAAATTAATTTAGCTAAAAACGAATGTTATTTCATTTATAAATTTAATGAATGTGTTTATAGGTATTTTGATTTGTTTTTCTGCGTGATTTGGTTGCAATCGGTTGGAATTTGTTTGAATCTTTTGCGCAAGGTGTCCGAAATGATAAATGGCGTCGCGCGTAACCTAGAAACGCCAAAGCGTGTGCATGTGTGCGTGCTTTCCCCGCATCTAACTGTACCGCGCGCCACAACGCACAGCGCTCGCACACACGCTGACGGTCACGAAGCTCTCGCATACATCGCGCATTCAATACTATTACATCAACTGTCAAGTCGTCTCCGCTGGCGCGCTTGTTATTGTTTTTCCGCGCGCGGTCATCGCGAGCGATGTCTCGTCGTCTGAGCCGCCTGGCATTGCGACGCAACCAACGCAATCACAAACTCCAGCGAACGGTGAGCATCGCTTCTGCGTCGCATCGCGCTCTCGGACGCACACACCACACACACCAACACACACACGCAGAGCACAGAGTGTACGAGTGTGGTTTTTGTTTGTTTTGTAGGTCACTCGCGAATCGCCGCTGGTGCGATCGCCGCCGCCGAGGGGTGCAATGCGGAGGATCACGGCGTGAGCGCGCGCGTGCCCCCTGATGATACTCAAAAGTGCCGCGAGCGTCGTGGCGCTCCAGCAGCATGAGTGCGCGCCCAAGAGTGTCACCAGCACGGCCGCCTCCGCTGCTGGAGAAGGCGCCAACCAACGTGTGGCGCGGCGTGTGCCCATCGTCGACCTCAACGAGCACCTCACGTGCTTCCTCTGCAAGGGATACTTTATTGATGCCACCACAATCATTGAATGTCTACACTCCTGTGAGTAACTCAACAGAAAATCCAATCAGACATTGAATTCACACACATTTCTGCTTACAGTCTGCAGGGGATGCATTGTGAAATACCTAGAGAGCAATAAATATTGTCCAGTGTGTGATGTGCAAGTACACAAAACAAAACCACTGCTCAACATCCGACCTGATAAAATCCTGCAGGATATTGTATATAAACTGGTACCTAAACTATATCACAGTAAGTAGCACAGCAGAGAACCTAAATTACAGGTTTCTACACATGATTCTTGTAGATGAGACGCAAAAACGTCGAGATTTTTACGCGGCGCATCCGGAATCGAAACCCTCCGGGCTGGAAACGCGCGCTGAGGCATCCTATCAGCATCTCTTGACGCCCGATGAGATGCTATGCATCTCTTTGATGTACAATGGCGCGGCTGACAAGTGCACACCGCGTTATCTGCGCTGCAGCGCCTCTCTATCCATTTGGCATCTACAGAAACTCATCCGGAATAAATACGACCTCAGCGTGCATCATCGTGTTGAAATTCTGCATCAGGATGAAGCTCTGGCTGCGTATTTGACGCTCATGGATGTTGCGTATATTTATTTATGGCGACGCGTAAGTTATTCACAATAATATCACTTAAAAGACATAATTTTATTATTAATTGTTTGTAGAAAGTACCATTGGCGCTCACATATCGTATCTACGAGAGCACAAAGAAGGCAAACTCACAAAGTCTTAATCTAAGCGCGGAGAATAACAATAATAACGATTCGAGCGGTGAGGAAGGCTGGAAAGAAGTGCAGCTGCGCATCAGTGAAAATGGCGAGATGAGCGTGACAGGTATACAGGATTGCCTAAGTCTCCTCGACGCGAATATCCTACAAGATGATAAAGATATGAGCGAAAAGAGTAAAAAAGAGAAAGATACAGATGCGGCCATTAAAGCTTCACCGTCGAAAAAGTTGAAAGTCGATAAGAAAGGCAGCAAGGATGTCAAGGACACAAAGGACACGAAAGATCCTAAACGGGAGACACGATCAGCGTTGCAGGTTAAAAACACGCCTGCAGAAAAGAGTGCAAAGATACCCAAAGAGAGAAAGCGAAAAAGCATGGACGCCATTGTTGAAGATGTCAAAAATACAGATGTTGACACATCAAATAAGAAATCCAAATTGGACGAGTTGCAATCAACTCTACCGGCTTGTATTTCAATCACGACCAAATCGCCAGTGATACTCAATCATTCGCTTGGCCTGCAGAACCTGTCGAATAATCATCCGCTCAAGAAACATTCACTGGCGAGTACAAAACCCTCGACTGCTGTCAGTCTCAACAGTGTGACGACTGTGTCGCCATCTACGTACAATCAAACCCACCATCTTAAACAGCAACAGATTAAAACAACCACTGCTAGTACAAACGCGCAAACCGAAACTAGTGCTAGTGTAGTCACACCGAGCACGTTGAAGGTGTCAACGGTGAGTTCGTCGTCTACAGTGAAATCCACAGCGGCGTTGTGTACAGCTACGACAAGTTCGACGTGCACGCCATCTGCATCGTTGGGTAAACATAGTCCGCAACCATACGCGCAGTTTCAGCGTGTGTATACCCCACCATCGACTAATTATACACCGATAAATGTACCTAGTGTACCGAATATTCACGCGAATCGTATGGGGATGTCACCAGCGCCATTGCGGCATTATAATCCACGTGGACAAGGGCAATCACCGCATGCGCAGAGATTCAAAACAATGGAGACAAGTGTCGCTGGTAGCCCTGGTGGTAAACAATGGAATCAAAGACCGGAAATGAGACCGCAAACTCCACCACCACCCCAGGTGGGATCCACGAATGATTTACGCAATGTCCGACCGGCGAAGTTTTTCAAAATGCGCAATAACATGCCGAGATATTTAGGATGTCCGGCATCCGGGGTGAAACCAATGTATCAGGTGCAAGATAGTCCGGAAAAAGCAGACGAAAAGAAGGAATCCACACAGAAAACTGTAAAAGAAACAAAAGATGATGATAAACAACAAAAAGATGTAAAGAAATCTGCGCCGCCCGCTACCTGTACAGAGATTAAACGTCATTCGATTGTGAAAATCGATCCGAAGACACTCAAACCCATCGCGGATCGTGCGCCGGAAATGACCAGCCTGACGACGTACAATATAAAACCGCCGGTGAGTTCACCGCAGCAGGATTTGAAGATTAACACCTCGTCGGTGTCGATTTTCAATCCGATCAAGCTGCAAACGGAGCGCAAGAGTCCACATTCACCTATTAGCAAGCGACCGGCTTCTAGTCCGACGAGTGCTGGTAATCCGCCGCCACCCACGCAAAGTCAATCACCAGCGATGGTGACTACTGTCAGCAGTGGCGCAATGCCGATGAGTAGCGGTATGATGAATATGCATGCGAAGCATCAGAAGGCGAGTTTGAGCTACACGCCGCCGAATCCGTACGTGCCGAATCTGCAATCGCCGACGCTCAACCCGAATCAGTTTATGTATCCGTCACCGGCTGCGTTTCCGCCGTATGATTCCATGATGGCGGCGGCGTTCCTCGCGTATTCACGCGCGCCGTATAATTATGACTTTCATAAAATGCAAATGGCGCACGGGCATGCGCCGTATAGTGTGCAGCCATTGGTGATGATGAGTCAGGCGCAACCGCCGACGAATCCGCAACCCGCGACACCCAAGAAAAGCAAAGAGAGTAAAGAGAAGTCTACGACACGGACGAGTTCACCGAAAACTGAAAGTCCGAAATTACTAACGTCTAAAGATGATAATAACACCAAAGAAACAACAAAAGTTTCCACTTTGAAGGAATCTAAAGATGTTGCAAAGAATAATACGAATTCAACAAGCAATAAACCGGTTAAAAGCGATAAATCACTACAGAATGCTCTCGATAAACTAACAAAAGCTAAAATGGCTGGGGACGGAGCCGAACATAAAACAGAAACAAGTGAAAAACCAAGAAATAAAAATAAAATCGAGATTAAATCACAAATTACGATCACATCACAAGGAAATGTCAGCAGTATACAAATACAAAACAAATCAAATGACACCGAGAAAGTTTTACAGGAAACTGTAATCGATGCACCAACAAACACAGATAAAACACCAAGTAATGAAGAAAATACGAATACAAAACAAGAAGATAAAACAGACACTAAAACTGTGGAAGAAATTGCACCGAAAACAAGTGAATCATCAGAAAATAATAAACCAGAAGAAGTAAAATCAAAAGAAGACACACTACCGCCACCTAGTGATGATAATATCAAGAGTAAAGGTAAAGAAGAAGAAAAAGTTGCTGAAGCGATAAAAGATGATGAAAAACCCGCTGATCCTCCTCCAGCAGTTGAAGTGGAAGTTAGAGTTGAGAAGAAAGTTGACGACGCAGTGCAAAATGACGATGCAACAAGCGAAAACAATGATAAAACAAAGTGCACGTAAACACATATGACGCCAGTGTGCGCCAATCTCATTTAAAGTGCCTGTAAAGTGAGCGATATTGAAACTCTATCAAGTTGAAACTGTGAGATATAAATTATAATCATAGAAATTCTATATAATGATAATATTTAACACACGTACGGATAGGAATCTAACGTTAATTTGGAGTTTATCAGGTCACAATGTAGATGTAAATAAGATGTGTGAGCAGAGTTGCATACATTCGACAGTGAAAATTTCGGTGCCTTCTAGACCAGAGTTTCGGGACAAAACAAATATATTTTGAGAAGATTATTAAAAACAAACAAAAATAATTGATTTGACGGAGCAAAATTTTGAAGAAGCAAAACTAATGTTTAATTAGTCTTAGTTTACGATTGCAAGAGCAGATGTATATGAGAATGTCGGATGATTCGAGACACAACATGGCGCTCGGAAATGGGTTTATACATACATAATATAAGCAAGAATATATTATTAAATTAGTTGCTAGGTCTGTATGATACTTGTAGGTTTTTTTGTTTGTTTAGCAGAGAGAATTTCATATACTTACAGAGCGCGCGCGCAGGTGTGTATTTTATTTTATTTGTTGTTGCGTTGGGTTTATGCATAATGCCGACTTGGAGTTGATTTTTGTTTCGTTTGTAAGCAAGATGCAAATGCAAATTAAAGATTTATCACCTTAACCTCTATTTCACCGCCCGCCGCCATCTTGGAACCAACCTAAAAATCACACACATGTAATAAACAAAAACAAGCAATTATTTACCTTCAGATTGTTTTAATAATCATTGTTCACTTCATTCTCAATAGTTAAGCGATTATTTTGCTCGTGGATAGTTTAAAATCTCTCCTTTCTTCATCATAGATACAAACAAGCAAACTTTACATAAAAAGATTGAATCATATTCCAGCGGCAGCGCATTCGTGGAAACATATTCATGATGCGCGCCCTCTCTCTATCAAGACGTATAAAAAATTGATCAACATCACAAGCAATCGAATAATAAAGCAAGCCGGGTGCTTTGACCACCGGTCCGTGGGGGATAAAAATCAGATGTAAATCTATATATGAATACAGTAAACATTCAATTCAATTAAAAAAATATCAAATTAATCTAAGCGCAACTAGCCGCGTATGTGTGTGGGGAAATTTAAAAACTCGAAATATTTCAATTCCTAAAAACCGATTACGTAATTGCAAATCGCATCGTCAATTGATGTCAACGTAGTGCCGCTCGAGCAGCGCTTTCTTATCATCGGCGATGCGCGGAAACCGATTCAGATGCTTGATGAACACCGGCCGCGGGATCACCTCCAGCGGGGTGGCCATCATACTGCGTGCGCTTGTCGCATCCGCCCAGTTCTGCAGGAACGTCGACCATTCTTCAATCTGCGCCTCGGTGGCATTACCCGACGATATTAAATACTCAGTACGCACGAGGATGGTCACCATAGCACTGACACCAAACTAAACATTAAAAAAAAATAATTATTATAATTTCAGTTAATATTGTACACTTACTTTATTCCCAACAACAAATTGCAGCGGAGCTTTATTCAGGTGACTCAACGGCGTCGAGCGCCCCTCAGTCGGCCGCATATTCTGCTCCAGCTTGTTAACAATCGTCAGCACATCGGCCATGCGCGTCGACTGCACAAACCGCTTGAAGTACGGATGCAGCCGCGGCAGGAGATTATCTCCGACCATGTCACGCCTGCCAATCAACGGAATACACAGCAGTACCTTACACCACAACGTCGCATACTCATCAATCGAATAATCCGACCCCAGCAGCGCCAATAAACGCAACAGCAGCATTTTACCCTTGCGTATATTCATAAACGACGCGAATTTATCCTCCTGCAGTAACCCAGCCATTATCCGCAGGAGATAATCCACTGGGTTATCACGCTGAGGCGTTGATTCCGCCTGCAACAACCTCAACAACTCCTGTTTCGCTTCCGGCGTCGCCGCCGATTCCATCTCGCGCAGGCGCTGCTTCTGCTTAATCTCGACGAGTTTCTCCATGTTGGCAACCGCGATGGGATTGAGCAGATCCTCCGCTTTGAGTACAAGCGAATACAACGACTCTAGATCCAATAGCAGTTGTTTTGTCTTACGAGTATCACGCGCAGGCGTACTATCGGTGTCTTTCTCGAGTGTCACCACATCCGTATCGATGATTTTCCTCGGCGCTGTCACCGAAACGCACTGCAGCTTACCCAGCGAGTTCTCAAACTGCTGCGGAGTATACGTACGCGCTTGCAGTTGATTCTCCGACCGCTCGGAGTTATTCCGATTGCGTTGCTGCTGCTGCTGGCGATGATGATGATGCACATGCGGTAGATTCTCTTTATCATTGCGCGCTTTGCGTTCTTTGAACACGGTGTAATAATAGTCGTCAAAGTAAGGCGTGCCTGTGTTCAGCTGCAGATGCTGTATGTTCAACAGCCATTGTTTCTCTCTATTCGTCATTAAACCGTCGAATTCATCGCGTGGCCGACTCGCACCGCGATTGTTTTGATTCATCTGCTGCTCCTGTTTGTGGCGGTGTTGTTGCGCGGCGGCCGCCATTTGCATGTGCATCTGCCGCATCTGTTGCTGTTGTTGTTGTTGCAGGTGTGGCGGTAGCGGTGGGCCGTTGCGTATCGTCGGCATCATCGGAAAGTTGGCAAACTGTTGCATTTGCGGCGGAAGCGGCATGCCGGGTCGAAGCATGGGATACTGCGATGGATACTGTGGTCGTACGCCGGGCATTCCTGGAATGCCAGGGAAGCCGGGCGGCATGCGTGGTGGTGGTGCTTGTAGGCCGGGAAGTAAGGGACGTTGTTGTTGCTGCGAGGCTACCTGAGGTGGCATTGGCAGGAAACCGGGTGGGAAACGCGCCGGTTGCTGTTGTGCAGGTCGTTTCTGCATATTCTAATAAGAAAACATCCCAATTAGAAACAAAATATATAAAAATATACAAAAATACCTGTTGGTTGTGTTGTTGTAGCATTTGCTGTTGATGATGATGTTGTTGCTGGTGCTGTGGATGAAATGGCATCTTTGGACTGGCGAACAACTTCTCAATCTCTTCGACAGTGGGTATATGCGGGACGTCCATGCCGATTTTGTCGAGTTTCGGCGCAACGCTGCCGTTTTTCTGCCATTGTTGTTGTTGGAGTATGGCGCGTTGCATCTGCGCTTGTTGCTCGCGCGCGCCATAGAACCAATCGACGCCTTTTGTCGTCGGCACCGCGTGTGAGGGCGTCTCATCATCAGAGTCATTAAGCACCAAGTCTCTAATTGAGTTTTCTACAATAAAAAATACAATTTAATATGTTTATAAGCTAATTATTCGATGATATTACTACCAATGTGTTCTGAATGTTTAGAATTCTCATCATAATGAGCATACTGCTGATGCTGCTCCTCCCAATCATCATTCAACACAGTGCTATCACCCAACGAGCCGAACGTCTCATCGTTGAGAGCGTCGTATTCATCCTCTTCCCCTTCGGCCAGGTCGGCGTCCTCGTCCGGTAATAAATTACTCTCATTCTGCAAGAAGACATCAACAAGTGTTACAATTTCATAAAAATTCTATAATAAATACATTAAAACTCAATTATAACACTTTAAACTTATTACACTTCTAAGTATAGGTATGGAGAATATGTTGGTGTAGTTTTATTTAATTTCCTGACGAAATTTTGGACGAAATTGGGCCACTTACGTTTAACGCTGTGTCGAAACCAAAAAATGTGTTAGCCATTTGCAAACCGTCTACACATGTTCCCGACCGGCGTATGTGATTGATGCAGCGTGAGTTCACGCGGTGGTGTACGCACAAGGACGATTTGTTTCTAGTCTCCTGCGAAATTCGGCCGCAAATATGATAAGTCCGGCGATAAAATTTCTTCGTACGTCTGGCTCTTACAACGTTATTTGCGATTTTTGACAGGCGTGTGCAATTGGCGGTCGGCAAGTGGCGCCCTCATACATGTCAACCTAAAACATTTAAAACAACAAAAACAAGTTATTTTTGTTAATAAAAAGTATAAATTGTACGTAAAATAAATATTTATTGATTCTTTTTTAGTTAATAATTGTTTATAATAAGTATTTGTAATTATATTGTAAAAATTTAAATTTAAAATTAAATCTAGGGACTTTTCTTCTTTTCGCTGTCAAAATTCAATGACATTTATGTAACTAGAAAAATTTAAACAAGTTTCTATTGAAAAACTTTACTTTTAACACTTTAATTACTAAACAAACACCTACGTCATTAGTTTTAGACAAAAATCTAATCAAAACCATCTTAATTACATCCTGTTTACTAATTAGAAAAAAGTAAACAATAACAGTAATCTTTTATTATTGTTCAAGAGTTGAATTTTCGCACGGTGCCCATTGTAAATCACATTGAACTTGTCTTTGAAGCGCGAAATGCGTCTTATTACATAAACATTTTGCGTCACGCCGTCGTCGCTCGCCGGGGATGATATTTAAATCGAACTTCTTGGTAGCGAGAGCGCACAAACGCGACGCGACCGCACGCCCGATCGCATCGATCAAAAACCAATCAAAACCCACTTCAAACTTGAAAAACTTTTCATTCAGTGCGCGTACAGTGATTGCGCTTGCGATTACGAAGAAAAGAAGCAGTGATTAATGCCGGACACGAAGTGTGTCGAAATCATAACACACGACGCATCCACAATCACAACCACGCATACGACCTACTAATTAATTCGATTAAGTAAGTAAATAATTATTTTCAATCGTATCGTTTAAGTTAAAAACTTTCCGCGAAACCAATTGCATGCAATAATTTAGGATTTGCGTGTGCGCACGAATCTAACATTGAATTCTGTACATTGAAACATGATTATTATTAATTTGAGCGTTTGACGTGCGAATTATGTTAATTTTCATAATTGCCGGACGCATATTAAGATATTATCATTAGAATTCCGTATTCGTCGGCGTACAGAGTTCAAAATCGCGCGTTTTGACTGTTTTCGCATGCAGAGAGGATCGCAGACAGGAAATCAGCATAAAATAACCGAATTCAGAATGCATATAAACTTGAACCAGACATGAAAGACGAAAAAAGAAAAGTGCATGACTTAAGTAACACACTTATCTCGTGCGTTATATCATCTCTTCGCACCTTGGTCAATGCTTTTCACTTTTATAAGTTGTTTATTTTCGGTGGAAAGTGAAATGCGAAATTTACGACCGCTTTTTCTCTCTTTTTAAATTGAACAATAAGTAATAAATATTACGAGGTGCGAAGAGACAAATCTATGAATGTTGTTTGCGGCGTAAAAACCATGGCGGCCATCTTGTTCAGTGCCATGTTTGCGGTTTTTATTAGCGCTTTTATTGCGTTACATGATGTATGGATTTCGGGGCCGGAGACAGAGTGCACATTGTTATAGCATCAGAAAACAAAAGAAATCAGTTTTCGGTATTTAAACTTTCTTCTCGTACATACTTCAAGAGGGTAAACAGCGTGCGGATCATACGTAACGCGAAATGAAATTTCATAAAGGAAGAAAGTAACCAGAGTAGCACACGCGCGCCCGCAGAGATGACCACAAGGCCGAAAAAAGTGAAACTGTTGTAACGCACGACAAAATGTCGCCGCGTATTGGAATCCGCTGCACGTCCGACAATTACTCAATTAAACGCACGCGCGCATGCAAATTCACCACGAATGCAGTGATGAAACTTTTTGCAATCTGCAGGGAAAGAAATTGCTCATTTGGTTGCATATAGTAAAATTTAATTACTTATTTATGCGTCTAACGCATAAAACAATTCCATACTTCTTATAATTATGGAATATTTTTATTCCTAATTGACATTTACTTTAATTGTCTGGTAATTACAACGCGCGACTATTGATTTTCTTGCCGATGACATCATTTTTTGTTGATTCTTCAACTGGTTTCGATTTTTTTATATCTTGATATTTTATTTTATTGAATTAAGCTGTGACCATGTTTGGCGTGGATTTATTTGCGATGCAATGCAAATACAAATAAACGCTACCATGAATTATGATTTATTGATTGTTCGCAGCCGTGTTACATCATGCATACAAAACATAACCAATCTAAACTGTATGCAACCTAATATACATGTATTTTTAGGTTACAGAAATGAACCTCATAAACGAGCAGAAACCGTTGAGTGAAGAGAAGCGAATCAGTGTGTTGGACTTTTATCGAGGGAAAAAAGTCTTCGTCACTGGTGGTACAGGCTTCCTGGGTAAAGTAATCATCGAGAAACTTCTACGACAACTCGAAGTGGAAACAATCTACATTCTAGTGCGTGAAAAGAAAGGAAAAAGCATTCATTCACGCATCGATGAAATGACAGATGACATTGTAAGTATAAAAACAAAATGGCCGCCATGTATCTATACTAAATCAAATATTTTTATAGTATTACGACGATTTAAAGAAGTCCGATCCGAAATTCAAGCATAAACTAGTCCCTATCAATGGGGACTGTGCATATGCCGGTCTAGGTCTCTCCATTACCGACGTACAAACACTTATCGAGAACGTAGAGATTGTTCTGCATTGCGCAGCTACGGTGCGTTTCAATGAACCTCTGGATAAATCCTACGCTGTGAATGTGACAGGAACAAAAGGCGTTGTGAATCTGTGCCATAGCATGCATCGTCTGCAAGCCTTCGTGCACGTCTCCACAGCGTATTCAAACTGTCACCTCTCACACATCGAGGAACGTTTTTATGATTATTCTCTTGGCGCAGATGAAATCGCCGCGTTACTAACAAAATTAACACCGGATGAGATCGACGCCAAGACACGTGACATCATAGGCAACTGGCCGAACTCGTACACATTCACAAAAGCACTCGCGGAGAATCTCATCCGCACCGAATGCGAGAAACTACCAGTTGCTGTTTTCCGCCCGGCGATTATCCTGTCGACGTACCAGGGAGCAACACCCGGATGGATTGATAATATCTACGGACCAGTTGGGGCTTCGGCTAGTATCTACGCTGGTTTCGGACGGGTTGTCTATGTTGCTCAGGATGACAGTTGTAATGTAGTTCCGGTGGATAAAGTTGCAGATGGTATTTTCGCTGCCGCCTGGGAGGTAGGCACCCGGATACACAGGAAATGTGAAGATGTCAATGAAAAAATCAAAATCTACAATTATGTTTCGTCCTCGACGAAGAACACCATCAATTGGAAGGAGTATATTTATATTGGATCGTTTTACAGTCGAGAATTCCCGCTGTTGAATACAAAACGCACGCTGAATGTCACAATGGCGCGCTCGGAAACTGTTTATAATATTCTTATCCTGTTGTTACACTATATCCCAGCGTTGATTATTGATTTCTTCATGCTTTTAAGCGGAAACAAACCAAAGTATGCGTACATATTTTATTTTATAACTAAAAATTTAATTTTCTTATGTTTTTGTTTTAGATTGTTTCGTTTGTACAAAAAACTTCATTCGCAAATGGCCGCCGTGTTGTTTTTCGTCTGTCATGCTTGGTCTTTTGATAATAACAATGTACAAAAATTATACGAGACGTTATCACTTGAAGACAGACGCCTATTGCCGATGGACATGCATGATGTCAACTGGAAATTATTCATGAAGAATTATATTTTGGGGATTCGTCGATATGTGCTCAAGGAAGATGACAGTACGCTTGAGCCAGCGCGTAAAAAATTGAAGACAATGGAACGTTTGGATAATTTCATCAAATGCGCGATTTGTTTCTTTATTGCGAATTATATTTATGGTGTCGTTTGTGCAACGAGCACGTGGCTGTTGTTTGGATGAAAATGGCAGCCGGGCATGCGCGGTAATTTATCGGGTGATAACAAGGACAAAATACTCAATTGTAGGTGCTTACAACGCTCTGTATGGTCTATTGTTATGTTAATTTGTTAAGAATTTATTGTTTTACGTATATTCTAGGTTTTGTGTTAACGTTTTAAGTCTAAAAGCAATTTAAATGTATTTATTATGGAATAAATATTGAAGTTTACTATAGGCAACCCAAATTGATCCGAAAATCACTGAGACATGTTCTAAAGTCGAAAAACTTGAAAATTTCACTAAAAACACGGAAATATTAATGTTAGGAATGAAATTAATTTGTATTGAAGTGATTTTTAATTAATTTAATGCATATTTAACGAATTTACCTCAAATTTTTATAAGAGTTTATCGTTTGCATAGCAAATTTTAATTTTATTGTTTTATATTTCAATAAATGATGCAATATTTCACGGAGACTTAACCATGACAGAAATACAAATTAAACTTGAATTTATTGTGCTACAAACATGTGATTCGCTCAAAACAAAAGGTAATTTGGTGTTTGGTTCAAAAACTATTAAATTTTTATGTATAATTCTAATTTTAGGTTGTTTTTATGTGGATATGTGTAGACATTGTTCAAATATACTGGAAAACTACTTGAAATTCAAAGAAATGTGTCTGTAATGGAAAGAAACCAAGAAAGAAGTTAAAAAGTAGGTAAAGACTCTTAAATTAAAGAAATATCATTAGTATTGTCACAAGTGCCTATTGAAATTATATGGCCACTTGCGACAGTTCTAAATATATGCAAATGTATGTATCACAATAGAAAATTAAGGTAATACCATTAGTATTGTCGCAAGTGCCTATTGAAACTATATGGGCACGTGCGACAGTTCTAAATAAATGCAAATGTATGTATTATAATAGAAAATTAAAGTAATACCATAAGTATTGTCGCAAGTGTCTATTGAAACTATATGGTCACTTGCGACAGTTCTAAATATATGCAAATGTATGTATTGTAATGGGAAATTAAAGTAATACCATAAGTATTGTCGTAAGTGCCTATTGAAACTATATGGACACATGCGACAGTACTAAATATATACAAATGCATGTATTATAAAAGAAAATTAAAGTAATACCATAAGTATTGTCGCAAGTATCTATTGAAACTATATGGACATATGCGACAGTACTAAATATATACAAATGTACTATAATACAAAATTACAGAAATACACGCAACGCAAGTCTACTTTTAAGAAATTGAAGCTTGAAAAGTCATTGTGAGTACATCCAAATGAATTAAACTAGTAAATAATATATTTGTTATTGTTTTGGCAAAGATTTTCTAAAGAAACATTCCGAAATAAAGTGAAAATCTAATTTTACTATAGGCAACCTCAACTACATGCCAAATACACTTTCACCATAGGCAACCCACCAAACCCAAGCCAATCCGAATCTAATTAATTCTCGCTGTGTCTGTAGTTTTATGACTACAGCCTTGATGAAGGTTTTGATTAATTCGATCACGTCAGCAGGCGAAAAACTAATTCGATGAGTTCACGCTGTGACAACATTGCATGCGGGTGGAGACGACGTGGACACGCTGCGGCCGCACCTTCACCCAGCATAATTGCCACTGCACAGCGATACAGTTATCATATCGAAACTGACAACCGGCGAGGCCAAGCCTTCGTTTGTTCATCAATCTAAATCAAAAGCCGAAAATAACCCCCGCTCGTAAAATATGACGCAATGAGGAGAGTTTAAGAAATGAAAAATTTAATTTACTTTTCGGCTGTTTATGGTTGTCATCAGCATGCCGCACACACGCATGGCGGACATTATCCTTCGGTCGAAATGAGCGCGCAGGATGCGTGAAAACGCGTCGCATCGGCTTGAAATTCAAGGCACGCGTCTCATAAATTAAAACACGATGACAATAGACCGAATGAAAGACGCCGACAATGTTGGTTGCCTAACTTTTGTGCAATTTTTAGTTTTAAAAACGCAAAAAACGCATAAAAATCATGATTGGATTACGGAATATTAAGGAATAAGGACGACACTCGCGATAGAGTCCACGGGGACTTCCATTAGTTTAATAGGTAATAGAGAGCCACAGGAAATGGACATTATACAAGGTGTTGTGAATATTTTCCAGAAAAATATATATAATAATCGAATTATGCGGATGGAAACAAGTTTTCGGAAATTAACTTCGAATATAAAGATTATTTTATCACTAATTAAATGAATTAAATGCCAAAGTGGAGTAGGAGATTATCTAACATGAAATAAATTAGGCCACCCAACGTACACGCGCATGGAGGCGAGTCACGCGAGCCGTAATTAAATGCATTTTAAAAATCAAACATAACCAAAATAGAGAAATGTGCTTCATCTTCATTGATTACAGCCCCTCGACGCGCACATTGAATTGCATCGAATTACACGCGCGCGCGCGCGGGGAGAGCGAGAAAAAAAGAGAAAAGTAATTTGTTGTGCTCCCCTTTCGCTGTTGCGTCTCGCGTTTCAGACGAGGAAGAAGAGGGAATATGTGTGTCAGGGCGGTCACTGCAATGCGATGCGCCGCGACGGACCGGCGGCGGTGGCGGCGGCGGCGTCACACTGTTGATTCAATCATTAGGCTCTGTTTGCTGAATTAATGGCGTGGCGGCGCCGCGCCGACCCGGCCCGCGGGCGCGCGGAGACGGCGCCAAGGCGCTCTGCCGCCGACCGCACGCCGCCGCCAACCAGCCAGCCAGCACCATGCATTACGCCTATGCGATGAATATTTTTACAACGCATCGCGAAAACAAAAAGAAAACAAGTGAATTAATTCGATACAACCAAACGTGCTGCTTTTCTCCTTGTTTTAAAAAATAACCTACAAATTACGCGAAGCTGAATAATTTAAATACACTCAGGTAGATGTACCAAAGTACCTTCAGAATATGTGGTATTGATGTTAGTAAATAATTTTGAAAATTTGCTTTAAATTGTAATCAAAGCTGATTTTTTTCAATTTTGCAATAAATTACTTTTTATCAATAATTCCTAAACTAAATATTAAAATTTAACAAACCCAACACCAAATTAAAGCTAATTAAATTACCTATCAGAATATGTACATAAGCATGTTAGTATAATACCTCTAAAATTTGTTTAAATTGCATTCAAAAATAAGAAACTAAAAATTTTGACCATTTTGCAACAAATCACTTTTTATCAATAATTCCTAAACTAAATATTTAAATTTAATAAAACCCTAACACCAAATTAAAGCTTACCAAAATCAATGTATCAGAATATGTATAGCATGTTGTATAATAATTTCAAAAATTGTTTAAATTGCATTCAAAATAAGAAAACTAAAAATTTTGACCATTTGCAACAAATCACTTTTTAATAACAATTCCTAAACTAAATATTTAAATTTAATGTCCCAAAAGCCAATTAAATTACCCATCAGGATATGTATAGCATGTTAGTACAATAATTTCCAAAATTACTTTAAATTGCAATCAAAAATAGAAAAACTAAAATTTTGATAATTTTGTAACAATTACATTTTTACCAATACCCTGGGAAACAAATGATGTAAATTTAAGAAACCCAACACCAAATAATAAAGCCAATTAAAATTACCTATCAGAATATGTAGAATAATGATAGCATAACAATTTCAAAAACCGTTTAAATCTTTGCACTCAAAATCAGAAAACTAAAATTCTCTTGATAATTTTGCACCAATTACATTTTACCAATAATTCCTAACCAAATATCTCGAATTGATTAAAACCTAGCATCAAATTAAAGCCAATTAAATTACCCATCCAGAAATATATAATTTATACCCCGAATAAATCCCGCAAGTCCTTGAAATCAATCAAATTACAACCGCATCGATGTCAGCCTCCAGTTAGCAATGACCTCTGATACGCACAAAATAACATCTATCAAAGCCAACTGTGACAACTCCATATACTTCTGCCCGTCTAACGTAGTGTACTGATTGAAGAAATATTTCGGCTTGCACGAATGAAAAACGCAAACGCACATGCATGTGTGTATGCGAGTGCCAGTGGCGCAGAGGAGGCCGGAGTGAATCAGCCGAGGCCGACTAAGGACCTTCTGACGCTGTCGGTGGTCGGTGGCGGCGCGTTATTGATCCTCTATTAATTTGTTAGCCACATCGGCCAGCGCTGCGCTTGCTGGCTTCAGCGTTTCTCTTTGGCGTTCAGTATCGGTTTAATACAATCAGAATTTCGATTATTTTGAAGAAGTAGCAGGCAAAGTTCTAAAATGTAAGATATTTAGTTTCAGTGATTGGCAGACAGCTTTTGTTATAAATAGACACTACTGTGCGTCAGCCAGTGTCAATCAGCGTACTTACTCATTGCCACTGATGTCTCACTCTTGAAAGCTGCATGCCTCATGGGCTGTCCCATAATAACCAGCGCATAACGTTTTTCTCATCATGTGCTTTCATTACTTTGTTACTAATCTCATGATAGTTGCCAGTAACCCCTTCCAGTTTTGGCGGTTCTCTACCGGATCATAACCCTGGGTAGACCAACAAATCTAGCCCACGCTTTTATCATCCCGTCAATGATCTCTATGGGTCAATATTTTCGATCATCTACTCTGCTTATCACCCTCACCTCAAACGAAATGCAATACCACAGGCAGAAAGTCGATGGAGTCGCTAACTTGTGATATCATAACAACATCATCAAAAATTCGATGTATCGCTCATATTTTTGCGCGCATTTCATCACGCATTCTAGCGTTGAAAGACGCAAAGTGCTTTAGAGCTTTATCTACCTTAAGTACCAGGTACGTAAAAACAAACGCATCATAGGCACATATTTTGCTGTGTAAATCACAGGAAATAAATCCCAAGACATGAAGGTAAATAGATTTTCCATAGCTGCTTGGTAACTGCCAATTTCTGTGCTCTCTTTCGTGATGTTACCACGTTATTTTGTTTTGCTCTTGATAACAATTTGCACAAGTAGGAAATCAAAGAGCACAATGAAGCCAATCTCATTGTTCATCCTGGTCCTGGATAAAATATCACTCAAGACATTCAACAGTTGAATCTTCATAGCTTCAGGAAACTTGTGAAATTGCTCCTGCTTGGAATGCAGATCCAAGAATGGTGTTACCAAAAATGGAAGAGTACTTTGTGCCACAGAGGTGTGAAGAGTTTTGACAAATTTTGCATAATTATCAACATCACGACGTAATTGTTGATAATTACACGCCTTACCGTCAATGCTCTTGGTAATTTTCTCCACCAGCTTTATAAGTTGAGCTTGAGGCATCATCTTTATAGTTCAAGGTTCCGTTTGTAGGTTAGATCGCTTCTTACATCTGTTTACGGTTAACATATGTGATTCTGTGTTTGTATTGGAGGCACGTCGCCTGCAAACAAACAAAGTAAGTGTTGGTGCTTTACCTCAATCCGGGTGAAAAAAACACAGTGCAGCTTGGTTTTATTTGAGTAAATTGACTTCTAAAGGAGGGTAAGTTTTCCCGCCAAATGTAAGAATAAACGTTGCAGTATACTGCGAAATTCAACTAAACGCAACATTCTATACTCAATTGCCCTTAGCATTCACAGTAGATGGCGCCACAAGCATCTTTGTGAATTGTTGTAAATCTGCATTTTTTTGTTTATGAATACTTTTTTACTTTCTTTCTTGATTTATATGATTATTATTTAATATAATATTATTTTATATTATAAAATCGTTTTTTTACAAGATAATTGCAATAAAATGAACAAAATGACAAAAATATTAATTTAAGCAACATTCAAGGGATTTTGAAAACATGCCGTGGAAAACACCCTGTATCTCGCAAACTAATACACTTTTTTGAGTTTTTCACCGCCATTTTATAGTTAAAGAGACGCTCTACACAATACATGCCATTTTAATGCGCTAAACATTCTGGAAGTGCCCTAAAATGCACTTCAAACATCGGCCTTATTTGGAAATTTTGAAAACATGCCGTGGAAAACACCCTGTATCTCGCAAACTAATACACTTTTTAAAGTGTATTAGTTTGCGTGATACAGGGTGTTTTCCAAAGCATGTTTTCAAAATTTTCAAAAAGGGCATCTGTTTGAAGGGCTATTTAGGGCACTTCCAGGGTGTTCAGCGTATTAAAATGGCATGTATTGTGTAGAGCGTCTCTTAAACTATAAAATGGCGGGGAAAAACTCGGAAAAAGTGTATTAGTTTGCGAGATACAGGGTGTTTTCTACAGCATGTTTTCAAAATTTTCAAAAAGGGCATCTGTTTGAAGGGCTATTTAGGGCACTTCCAGGGTGTTCAGCGTATTAAAATGGCATGTATTGTATAGAGCGTCTCTTATACTATAAAATTGCGGTGAAAAGGTAAAAAAAGTGTATTAGTTTGCGAGATACAGGGTGTTTTCCACAGCATGCCTTCAAAATTTTCAAAAAAAGCCGTTGTTTGAAGGGCAGTTGAAGACACTTCCATAATGTTTGGCTGATTAAAATGGCATATATTGTGTAGAGCGTCTCTTAAACTATAAAGTGACGGTGAAAAAGTTAAAAAAAGTGTATTAGTTTGCAAGGTACAGGGTGTTTTCCACAGCATGTTTCCAATTTTTCCAAAAAAGGCCGTTGACAGTTTGAATCTGGTAACTTTGCACTAAGTTGAGGGCGCCACTGTCATTTATAACACTATCTTTCGTTTTGACCGTTTTGACGGTTGATATTTTGAAAAATTGAAATTTTAAATTTTGTATACCGTCGATTGTGCAGATGGCGCTAGGGAACATGAACTTTTCACAATTTTAAACTTGTTTTAATTAGATCGAAAAAAAAAACGAAATTTGTGGCCTCTTACAAACCAACATTTATATCTATGTTTGTTTTCCAATGGTGACATTCTTATTTTATGTGTAAAGGAATTCAAACTGATTGATTGTCATTTTGAATCTGGTAACTTTCCACTAAGTTGAGGGCGCCACTGTCATTCACAACACTCTTTCTTTCGTTTTGACCAGTTTTGACCGTTTCGACGGTTGATATTTCATTCTCTCTTTTGTACAGCCTCGTTTAACCACGTTGTGCATCAGTGATAATTTTAGAAAATCTTTAATCATCGGCCGAAATCTCACAGAAGTCCATTTAATTATAATTTTGTCAGATACTTTAATCGCAAAGTTTTGGTTTCCTGTGGATATTTCGTCGCTGGTGTGCGAGAAACTTATACGGAACGTGAAAGTGACTTTGCACCGCTGTGTACTACATCATTCACCGGTATTTTCACGTGTTGCCCAACTTGTAGCTTCACTCTTGTTGGTCGAATAACTACATTTAACTTTATAATTGCGATTTGTTGTGATATTGGAGACAATTCCGACGTCCACCCGCTAGAAGTACGTGAGTTCGTGTTATTGAATTTGTTTCACTTGTTTCGTGTAGCAATAGGGATTAGATTATTATATACTGTTTATATTAGTTGGTCACAAATATTGAAAATCTAATACATTTTCAACTTTCAAACTTGAGCTAGTATGTTTATGTTCTATATGCACACCTACTAAACAAATTTACAAATCTTGTTTTTAATACTTTATTATTTTTTTAGAACATGCCTCCACAAAAGAAACGCAATGAGTTCGTCTTCGTTGTAGACTTGGCGTCGGACGAGACCTTCCTGCGGAACGCCCTGGACAGAGTCTTCACTTTGAAGTCCCTGGAGACCAGAGGCCCAAAAAAGGACCCTACAAATGACCAGTTCCAAATGGTTGCTATGAACTATCCGCATCCTGACACGGATGGTTCAAATTACATGGTGATCAGTGATTTTGTGACGCCAATGTTCACTGATAGGGTGTTTAAGTATTTGAGTGAACATCTGCTCATCTATAATGAAATGGAGCGCAAAGATTGCGATTGCAATTTGGTCAGTGCCATTAAATATGGAGGTGGAATATTTAATGCGTTATCCGACAACTTGCATGTTACCACCTTTTTTCTGATTGTCATCAGTGACTTTCAAAATTTTAAAAACTCTCCTTATGAGGAGAGTGAAATTCAGCAGTGTGTGGATCTTTTTTGCACTCTGGACATCATGTTCATTGCTGTAGTAGATCAGGATGTCTGCTACAATTTCAATGACATGATTGAGACATGTCGGCAAATGGAAAAGGTGATGGAGACAATTCAAATTCCAAGGAGGAACAGTGCCATTGAAGCTGTTTGTTCAATTGCTCAACAAACAGAGGGGATTCTGACCGGGGAAAAGCTTTGTAATTTCAATTTAAATCCGTTATGTCTGCCAATTTGTTATAATAATGCTTTTTACAGTTTTGAACTTTGTGACCCTCTTTGCAAACCCAGCGTCTAAGCAACCTTGGAACACGTCCCTCACTCTGGGGAGCTACTCTTACTCCACTGTTACCACCAAGCTTACTGAACAGGCAAACAGTTTCTTAGGCAAAAGACCACCGATTCGCCAATATGCCTATCGCCAGCCACAGACGGCGAACATGGCTACTACATCTTCTGGTGCAGGGCAACAGGTCGCCGAACGGGATGTGGCCTTGGTGAAATTTTTCCACGGTCGTGCACTGCACATTCCTGCAGATGTGCGTGCGTTTCCGAAGGATGTCCCAGCCACATTTAAGATTCTTGGTTTCATTGATGCCAGTGAAATGTCGGAAGTATGTAGATTGTCTATTTTTTTTATAATGTAAAACGAAAATTATTAAATTTAATATTTTACAGTTGTACTACGGGGGGAACGAGTCTTTTGCGGTCAGTGCGCGTGAAGACAGCCCTCGCGCGGAGCATTTCGTGGAATTGGCATTTAAAATGATCCGCAGAAAGAAATACGCCATCGTAGCAAGGGTATATTCTCGAGGAAAGTCGGCCAGTGCGTTTGTGCTGATTCCCCAACCGGAAGGCTGGATGCTGATGACCGACCTATGCGATGGAGCCTTACGTGTTCTCAATCCGACAGAGGCGGACCATACTGACGTCGACGAAAAATCTCTCTCTAACGGGATGCTGGCGTTACGACAGCATCTTATCAAGAGCAAGGTTTTGTTCCATCCATGCTGTTCGTTGGGGCCTGGACAGAATCGTGTTTGCAACAATGTGCGCCGCCTTTGCGGATACAATAAAAATTTATTCAAGCCGGATGAGCTGACAGTTGGACTGGGCGACAGAGACAAGGAGTTGATCGATAATCTGTTTGTCTCAACAACTTCAAAGATTGATCAACCCGAGGAGGAGGATGATTGGTAGGCAGGAAAGAATCATGGTGTTTGGCAGTTTGCTCCGGGAACATGGACCCGAAGTTCTGCGTAGAAGCCGGGAAAGAACGGTAAGGTGTATTTTTCATTCCTTGTTTAATTTACCCATTCTTGCATGCATTGTTTTAGAAGCCTTAACTTACGCCGGGCTATAATGATATCATCTTATCATGCCATTGCTGTGAACATGCTAGTATTACTGTATATAAACGTGATTTAATTTTAGAAATCTGCGCCCAATATTTGCTCGAGGATCATCCAAACTGGTTGTCATTTGGAATCTGGTAACTTTGAACTAAGGTGAAGGCACCACTGTCATTCACAACACCATCTTCGTCTTGACCTTTGATACTTCTCTCTCTCTTTTTACAGCCTTATTTAGCCACGTTGTGCATCTGTTATAATTGGAGCCACGACGTGTAGCCAGCCTGCAGGGCACCTTCATGCGCCTTCATACTCCGACGCAGCTTGGGATTTTACTGGTGCGTGCGGAACACGCAGGTTCTCTACGTTCCAACTAAACAACACTTCACTCGCGCATCTATTGCAACTTATCATTTGTGTATGTACTCTTCTACCTACACTGTGTGCTCTCTTGCGCACAGCTTTCGCCTATATCCTGTTGTCTGAGAAACCCCTTCTAAGACGCTCCCCCTGGGTAGCAATACCCTAGGAGCATTTCAATTCTGGTTCTGGGTTCACGCCCATTGGGGCAAGCTCTCCGAGGTGTGTGTTTAGTGGGTCGGGTACGTCGCCTTCTGCGAGGCCTAAACCCCACACGCTGGTCACTCGTTCCGGCCAGCCGTCTGTTGAGCAGATTTTTCACACCTCTAATCAAAAAAAAAAAAAAAAAAAACCACATCGGCCGCAATATCCCAGAAATTCTCCTAAAGTTTAATAGTATAGCTCACGAAGTATTGTTATTTGGATTGTATGTTGACGTGACTGTCGGTAATACAGTGTGATCGTATTATAGTACACAGGGCTTGAGCTTCATTACTGATCGTTAGTATTGTATGTATTGTTAGTATTATTATATTGTATGTGTTTTTCGCGACTGTTATCGTTTTATTTTCAGTAAATCGCATTTATTTTGATTGCTTTCTGTGCTAAAGTAAGTTGTAATTGTTTGAAAACATGGTGTAGAAAACACCCTGTATCTCGTATACTCATCCGCTTCCTTTGAGTTTTTCACTGCCATTTTATAGTTTAAGAGACGCTCTACACAATACATGCCATTTTAATCCGCTGAACATTCTGGAAGGGCCCTACAATGCCCTTCAAGCAGCGTCCATTTTTGGAAATTTTGAAAACATGCTGTGGAAAACACCCTGTATCTCCCAAACTAATACACTTTTTTTGAGTTTTTCACCGCCAATTTATAGTTCAAGAGACGCTCTACACAATGCACGCTATTTTAATCCGCTAAACATTCTGGAAGTGCCCTAAAATGCCCTTCATACAACGCCCTTTATTGAAAAATTTGAAAACTTGCTGTGGAAAACACCCTGTATCTCGCAAACTAATACACTTTTCTTGACTTTTTCACCGCCATTTTATAGTTTAAGAGACGCTCTACACAATGCATGCCATATTAATCCGTTAGACATTCTGGAAGTGCCCTAAAATGCCCTTCAAACATCGGCTTTTTTGGAAATTTTGAAAACATGCTGTGGAAAACACCCTGTATCTCGCAAACTATTACACTTTTTCCGAGTTTTTCACCGCCATTTAATAGTTTAAGAGACGCTCTACACAATACATATTATTTTAATCCGCTAAACATTCTGGAAGTGCCCTAAAATGCCCTTCAAAAATGGTTATTTTTTTACGTTTTTTTAAATTTTTGGGTCGTGAAGCAGGGACAAATTTTTATTTCAACATTGCTTATTCTGCAAAACTTGAAATAATTTAAAACATTTTTGTCTGAAGAACAGGGTCGAACTTTTTAAGTTTAAATATTTTGGCCGAAGAACAGGGCCGAACTTTTTGTGTTAAAATTTTTTGGGTCGAAGAACAGGGCCGAACTTTTCAGTTAAAATTTTTTCGGCCGAAGAACAGGGTCGAACTTTTTGTGTTAAAATTTTTTGGTCGAAGAACATTTTTTCCTGCGAAATCAAAATAAAACTTTGAATGCTAATAACTCCTGAACTAAAAGGGCTAGAAAAGAAAAGACGGCAGATTCTTGACCCTTGAAGGATTCTCTACAAGATAGGCTATTAAAAACAGCCCTTTTTTTTCGCCTCAAAGCTGAAAAAAGTGCAAAGAGGTACCTCTTATAGGTTTTTTGATTTTTGAAAAAATCAAACTAAACATGCTATCCTGTTAAGAACCCTTTAAGGGTTAAGGGCCTGAAGTCCGTTTTGTTCTAGCCCTGTTTCTAGGTTTCCTGTTTCCTGCTCTAGGGCTGTTTTTAATAGCCTATCTTGTAGAGGGTTGTTCAAGGGTCAAGAATCTGCCGTCTTTTCTTTTCTAGCCCTTTTAGTTCCGGAGTTATTAGCATTCAAAGTTTTATTTTGATTTCGCTGGAAAAAATGTTCTTCGGCCAAAAAATTTTAACTGAAAAAGTTCGACCCTGTTCTTCGGCCGAAAAAATGTTAACTGAAAAGTTCGGCCCTGTTCTTCGACCCAAAAAATTTTAAAACCATACGTCAACTCTGTTAAAAATGGTTCTGCAGAGCTATAATATAGCGTTGAGAAACTCAGTGAGAGTGAATTAGTTAGTTAGGTTAGAATAGCCCACTGATTTGTATATTTTTTATTGTTTAGAGTTTATGGCTGCACCAAGCATAGATGCAAAAAATTGTCAGGATAGCTGAGATGTTCCGACATCCACTGTAGCGGTGTATCTAATGGTGGAAACATGCCATGTGTGCACACCTTGCCTGCAAACACTTGCTCAGGTAGAGTTTCTTCAAGTAGGTCGCGCAAAGTCTTCTTGCGCCCACCCTCACAAATTGGCCTGACTAACTTTTGTATATATCCGTCATTAATATACAACCGGTAGGGAATATGCTTGAAACTGTCTTGTTCAGCAATTGTTTCCATAAGCTTCCTGTTGACTGCCCAAAACTGGTCAAATTTGTCTGAAACACCAAAGAAACAATCAGAATCTACTAGCTAATAACATCCTCTGTGCTCTACCATTCTGCAATCCCAACCATAACTGAGTGTGGTCCTTCTTCAACATGGAGCCCACTACCTGGCTTCTATGCTTAAGCAGGTCAGCTTCCTTCAGGCTGGACAAAAAGTAGGATTCTACCAAATCTCTGTAAACCGACCATTTGAAACTATATTTCATGATAGAGATGAAAAGATTACTTGCTATTGAAACGGAATATTTGCTTCTCTGGGAATTTGTAAAAGTGCACAGTAATGTTCCATGGCAGTGCCAGTTGGGTGTTGTCAGAGCGGACATGTAAATCAAAAAGCACCCCAATTGGGCAGTGCCATTTTAGTGGCTGACCATCAAACTCCAGCCACATGTCCTGATCATTCTTGTCATTTGAAGTAAATCTCATGAAGTGTTTCTTTACCTGTGGAAAGAATGAATGCAGAGAAGGTGTTAAGATTGAATATGCTTAAAAAGTCAGTGTTCAGTGGTCTTGTACCTTATCTATCACCAGTGGGAAGTAGGACAGTCGGGGCACCATCAAATAGAATGGATCTGGTTGCTGGAGTTCATACACTTCCTCAGGATCCAATGTAAAACACACGGGCAGTTTGCCTTCCCATATTTCGCGCAAAATTTCGCGGTCATTAGCCATTGCAAATATTTATTTCTGGCCAAATCGTAGCAAGTAGGAAAAGAACTCCCTTAGATATAAATGTATGTTAATACCTATTATCCTGTCATTGCTCCTAGTCTCTCAGAGCATGCGTCATTTCTGCTTGTTGGGGTTTGTTATTGTACCGAAGTAACCTAGGCACACACAAACATCAAGAGGTTAGGTTTGTATCGACGGCAAGAAATGAAATCAAAGAGCAAGAAACATGTGGGCAAAGATAAGGAAAAGACGGAACGATCCAGATCTGAAAGCAGTGGCACCCTCAAAATGGAACCCGCCGAGGTGATCGCCTTCCTGAAGGGCGAGGTAAATCGACTTCTACTTCAATTCTTTTATTCTAAGCCGACAATTTCAGTCGCCGACAACCAAGCAATTCGCGCGCTTGAGTAGTGAATCGGTCCAAAATTATGCAGAACAATCCATCTTTGAATCAGCCCCACATGAGGTAGCCTACAGCTTAGCAGAGGATCTGAGCTACAAACTAAGACACATCATACATGTAGGTATCAAGCACATACCTACATTTTCTGCACACATAACTTACCAAATCACTGGTTTTAGGAAGCTCATATAAAGGCCAATCTATCAGGGAGAACTGCACTACTGGGCAGTGATATTGAGGCCTGTTTGGAAAGCCTGGCCGTTGAGAAGGTGTATGGAGCCAGCAATTCCAGTCACTTCTCTCCACTGTCTGACAAGCACTTGTACTTGCAAGATTCAGTGGTAAACTTAGTGATGCTGGTTGGAAACACCACCACTATCATTCAGCCAGGCGATGCAATCCTCACAAAACAGTCTTGGCTGCCAACAGGACCTGCAATGAATAACTATGTGCGATACTTCACTGCCATGTGCCACACGTTGATTTCTAACACGCCCCAACAGCGACAAGAAGCACTGCGTGACGTGCGCTGCAATGCGCATATTGGTCCGATTGTCAACTGGTTCTACCACTTTGGCTACTTCCTGCTTAGTAAGGATATTACGTATGTGTCGCTTACGATGAGCGCGCTGCAACTCATCGAGGCGTTGGAAAGTAACCCAATCGCGAGGCAACAAGTCGGGGAGAAAGAGGTGAGGTTCGCGAGACTTCTTCAATCATATTGTATTTCACTTAACTTGCCTTTTATTTAGTTGAAACTGCTGCCTAGATTGATATTGCAACGCCTGTTGCGTACCCGTACGGACTATGAGGTAATCAAGCCGATGTGCAGCGTGTTGGCGATGTTGTGCATACGCGCACCTCTCCGAGAACTCGTTATTGGTAAAATCGAACAACGGCGGCAGGAATTCAACACCGACTATGCTCTACCGCTGGTATGCATCATCAATGCACTGGGAATTGATGTGTTAAGGCCTTATGTAGACCAGGTGATGCATTTGTATCGAAATGCAAAAGCTGCGTGCGCGCCCAACTTACACCTGCTGACAGCAGTCATAATGGTTAGTTTATGCACTCTCGTGAATTAGATTATACAGATGTATTCGTTTGTTTCTTTGTTAGTATTCACATCGCTTACTGCAAACGCATGACGCAACAGCCATCGAGCACAATTGGGCGTTCTATGAAGCCTTCAACTTCAAACTGATTCCTCATTGGCGTTCAATGTGCACTTGCCCAGCTTCAGCTAGTACAAAAGAGTACGACACAAATTTCCGCGTCATCTTCGCTCAGCATTTAAAATCAATAAAAAGAATATTGCCCATTGCATTACGACATCGCCGTCGCCGCCGCTACAAACCGCAAGAAGTTTTCGACCCTTGTCTTCCTCCATGCCAAAAACAGCTACATATAAGACTAAAATATAACGCTGCAGTTGAAACAGCCATTGACGACAAAGATGAGCATACTTCTCCGCCTCAGCAAAGCAGCAAAAATGACCAGAAGCAGGAGTTTGTGACAATAGGCAGGTGGAGCCCGATCCGCGGGCGAGAGAATATGAAAAACTTAAATTGTCTGCATTACAACAATCTGATTTTGTGATCACTGTTGTAAGGACGCAGAAAGCAGCGTGAGATTGTCGAGGATATCTGTTATTTGCAGATCGCAAGATGTCGTTTCGGAGCGTGAATGGGAGAATTGCATGTTGCGCTGGTGAAGCAGGCGTGATAACGGCTGCGGTACACGACCATGTACTAAAATAATTATATTTTAATTAAACTTGATTGCGTGCGAAAATAATTTGTCATTCAGCATTCACTTACGTTGTTGTACGGCAATGTTTAGTGGAGCCTTATTGGGTGTTTTGTACAGCACACTTCTATCCCTGAGTATTTGCTTTCCGCGCGTGGTGATGTGCTCCATCGCCTGTTCCTCTTCAACGGCGATGTTCTCTGACGGCGTGGTCGGCGCTGACACTGTCTTCGCCTTACACGACGTTGGGGATTTACTCAAGGCGTCGAGTAGTTTCTTGAGGATGTTTTCCTGCACCTTACACCGCTTGAAAACCCTCAAGACGTTCGTTTTACACATCTCGCCATCACCATCGGAGAGCAGTTTCTCAGCGGCAGCGTCAATTTCCATTGTTACTACATACACACGAAGAGGAAATTATTAAATTAGAAAATTGAATGGAATGCAACACACAAACCACAAATAACGTCGTCGAGGTATCTCCGTATGAGTGCCTGGTTCTCAATTGGACTATCCACAAGACTAACAAGCAGCATCTCATAGAGAATCTTCGCCTGAAGAGTGATTGGCTTGATATGACTCTTATCAACGGCTGAAACTTCGCGGAAACGCTCTTCGAGTTCAGCGTTGATATCTCGGATGACCTCATGCGTCACCTGACAAAACGCGAATGGATCGATGATGAGGTAAATATGCTTCTTGAGATCACCAGCCTGCCGCAACCAATAGTGTTTAAGCATTTCCGCATGGTAGAGATTCTGCACGGCGCAGTCCTGGACAAGCGTAGTCAGCGCCGGCACCAGCTCACCTTCTAGCGCCTCAAGAGATGCCAAACAACTACGCATCCGAAGTGTGCAGTTACGATCAGAAGAACAGGAGACTGCGAACAGTCCCACTTGAATCATACGGTCAACATGCAAGTCAAAATCAGCCACCGCTTCATCCAACGCCGCTTCGTCCTGTCGACTGCGTAGACAAAACCTGTGCAAGTCCTCCAGGGGTTTAGCACATTCGGAGAACACTTTCAAGGACAACTTCAACACGGCCGCATTCACTTTGCGCTCGAGCGCGCAGAGTTTATCGCAAGCAGCGTCGATGAATAGATTACACATGGAAATTCGCGGTGTTGGCTGGTGCAATTCTTTAACCAGATAATCAAAATTATGAAGAACTTCCTTACTACTACCCTTGATGACATTGCAGTCATCCTTGAGTGCCACCTGAGCAATGGACATAGCATGACACAGCACTTCTTCAATCACTTGCCTGGCATTCTCTGTGCTGGTCCAAACCAACTTCAATTCTCCCTCTACATCAATCTCAGTCAACTTATCAAGTGCAAGATCCATGTATTTTACAAAACCAACAGAGGCAACATTCTTTGTTGCCACCACATTGGAGTTGAGGACATTCTCCAGTCCAGTTAGACACATTGCTATCTGCTGCAGAATACATTGGCGCGACTCCTGACATCCGGAAAAACAAGTGCAAGTAACCATCAGAGATCAACAAAAGACAATTATCTATACCATACATTAATTGTTATGCCAATATCACCTTCAGTAGTAAATATTTTGATCAGCACAGAAAGTGTGGTGTTGAGTTGCAGCAGATACAATAGCATTGTTTCCTTGTCAATTTGATTCATTGGTTCGCCATTTTGACGCACACTCTCTGCGATTTTCAGCAGCAAATCACAAAGTTTTCCACACAAATCCTGCAAGCAAGAAATATTAATTTATAACTCTGAATTAGACATAAATTTACCTGGAACCATGCGAGGACATCCTGTTTGCTATTGACGTTGTTCTGCAATGTATAAAGAAACGATTTTGTTTCGCGTAACTGCTTTAATAATGAACTCATCTTTCAAAAAAACCGTCGTGTGCTCAGCAAGTTGCGCGCTCATTTGAAATAGCTACTTATAGGTTATATTAAACTGTAACATATTGTAGAGGGCGCTGTAAGTTGTATTGATTTTCCAAATTCAAAATTTAACCACCAAACATATTTTTATAGATTTCTCTGTAAAATGATAATCCTCATTATAGAGAAAATTAAATAATTGGTATTATATTAATATATGTAAACTAATTTTGTAATTTTCACACAACGTACGACCTTGATCTTTGGCCATCATGTCAGTCGTAAAAGGATTGGTGGAGATCATGTCCGAGACAAGCGCGCTAACTAAACTTTTGATAAAATGCGTGCATTTTTCGGCCGTCAAACACAAGAAACAACGCCGGATGGACCCAGATGCGACGCCTTACATAAATCATCCAATCGGTGTTGCTCAAATTCTAACTGAAGAAGCCAACATCACGGACCCCACTGTGCTTCAAGCAGCTCTGCTGCACGACACAGTCGAAGACACAGACACTACATTTGAGGAAATAGAAAAGGAATTCGGTAGAGATGTATGTAATGTAGTCAAAGAGGTGACTGATGACAAATCCCTGCCAAAGCACGAACGCAAGCGGTTACAAATTGAACATGCAGCAGGGTCAAGTCATCCAGCAAAGCTGGTCAAGCTGGCAGACAAGTTGCATAATTTGAGGGATCTCGAGAGGTGTGTTCCACTAGGATGGACCAAGCAGAGAGTAGACGAGTATTTCCAATGGAGTCAACAGGTGGTGCAAAATTTAAGAGGCACAAATGCTGAATTAGAGCTAGAATTGGATAGATTGTTTGCGAAACACAGCTGATATGTAAATCATGATGTAAATATTGAACCAAATAAAAATATATGCAACCAAACGTGCAAGTCATGCAAGTGATCTCACACTGAGCGTCATATTTCTTGATCGTGTCTGAAGAAACAGAAGATGTCCGAATCGGAAATTGCAGAAAAGCACATTCTGACAGAAAACATCGCGAATAAATATTTCGGACGTGATGACTTCCAGTTCGGCGTGTTAACATTCTTCGCCAAATTGCATACCGTGGACACCTGCGGTAGTAATGGCCTGCCACTAACGCCCAACTCGATTACAATTTACGGCAAAGCACAAATTTTCAAATCATTGGTGCATTCAAATCTCTGCCAATATTTGGACATTATAAGAGGAAAACATGGTGCATATAGAACAGAAGACTATATGTATTGTATAAATTAATGTGTTTCATTGTTTTAGAAAGACTTTTGGTGGTCTCTCAATATTGTGGCACCCCATTACTTGAAACCCTTTCAAGTATTCATTCAGATGAGATATGCCGCATTGCCTATCAAATAATCAAAGGTTTGGATGTGTTACACAATAATAATCTTACCCATCAAACTTTGTGCTCAGAAAATGTGCTGTTGCAAAAAGATGGCAGCGTCAAGTTGTTCAATTATGCTCTTTACTCCATGACTGGATATGGCCAACTGGTTTCATTTCCACTGGTGTACGTTTAACCCTTGCAAGTTTAAATAACTCGATTATGAATAGGTAATGTTGTAGACAAACTGCATATTCTGCCCCAGAAGTGTATTTGAATAAGAATCAACCCACAAAATTCCCAATGTCAACCGACATCTGGTCCCTGGGCATCATTTTGGTGGAGCTGGTGCTGAAGCAACCACTCTGGGAGAGTTTGAAGATTGGTCAAAAGATTCGCAAAATTCTCAGCCTGCTGCAATGCGAAGGCCGTATCTTTGAACGCATCGCACGAGAACACAAATGCTACGAAATATTCATGGCATTGGATCCCGATTGGAAAGCGCTTATTGAAAGCTGTCTAGCCGTCACACCCAGCAGGCGAATTACCACGCAAAGACTTCTCGAAAACAAATTATTTGCACATCTTCATGTGCACAACAGCGGCGAGCAAAAGAAGCGCGACATTCCAAAGTACGAAGCATTCACCATCAAAGAATTCTACCATTGGTGGAGACTCGCTGGCGGTGACGTGATCGCTGAATTAAAGAAACAAGGCCTCATACGGACAGGCCCACCAATTCTATCATTGCCCAGGTAACACAAATATGCACAAATAAAATAAAATTTTCTTTCTGCACTTTGGCACTTTGTGCAGCCTGGCGCTGATCGACGGCACGTGTTTTGGCCAGGAGAAGAACCCCAACACGCTGTATGACCAACGAGTGGTGATGATGCCAGTGACGGCGCTACACGAGCGTCTCGGTCATCTCAAATATCATCACTTCCATCCACTGGTACATTGTGCATCCGCAATCATCGACAGATTTGATTCATCGCTCAACTACGATGCAAGCGGACTTCCACTGTGCATTAAAGAGAAGGATCCCGAGTACCAATTCCACCGCATTATACTCTTCAGGCGTTTGTTGTACGGTTATCCGTTTACGCGAGATTTGATCGTTAGGCAGGCAAGATTCGATATTCCGCCGCAACTTCGCGGTGAAATTTGGGCTGCACTGCTCAATGTGAGCGGCGATCGCGATCGCACAGAGTTATTGTTTCAGCTCATTGATAAAGAGACCCAAACACCTACCGATCGTCAAATTGAGGTGGACATTCCACGTTGTCATCAGTACAATGAGCTGCTTTCCTCTGCCGACGGGCATCGCAAACTGAAGCGTATACTGAAGGCGTGGGTGCAAAAAAACACAAAGTATGTGTATTGGCAGGGTTTAGATTCGCTCACGGCGCCATTTCTCTTATTGCATTTTAACGATGAGGCCAGGGCGTTTGCGTGCCTCTCTGCTTTTGTGCCCAAGTATCTGCACCAATTCTTTTTGAAGGATAACTCGGCGGTTATTCAAGAATACCTCGCCCGTTTCTCACAACTGATTGCATTCCATGATCCACCACTTGCGAACCATCTACACGAGATTAACTTTGTCCCTGAACTGTTTGCAATTCCATGGTTCCTCACCATGTTCTCGCATGTATTTCCTTTACATAAGATCCTGCATCTTTGGGATAAACTCCTCTTGGGCGACTCCGCATTTCCTCTGCACATTGGACTCTCGGTATTGACGCAATTGCGCTCGCGCCTCATGTCGAGCGGCTTCAACGAATGCATCCTACTCTTTTCCGACCTACCCGAGGTGGATATTGAAAACTGCGTGAAGAATTCAATGCTTACATTCGAAACAACGCCAAAGAGCGTCACGCGCCGTCTGCATGACAATGAAAGCGGGCAGGAAATCACCCCCGAAGCATTGGAAGACTGTCGACGGCAGAATAAAGCACGCTATCCGCGAATCTCACCGCAGGATGTCGAGCATTTAGTGCGTAACTTTCCCAGCCAGCTGCTTGCAATCGATATACGAAATCCTACGCAATTTGCACGCCGCGCCATCGTCGATAGTTTGAATATTCCAATTTCGAGCGTCAAATTCGGTGAGCAGAGTCTTGAAGGGCTGGGCCCAGTTGGGACTTTCCTCGCTACCAGCGACGATAAATTTGTCGTAGTCATTGGTGACGAGGATACCGACACTGAAATGGTAATACTTTGCCTACCTGACAACTTCACAAGTTTTTTCAATCATTTGTATTTCAGTTTCCGCGTCTGTTGCTCGACTGCAAGGTACCAAAGGTATGCGTTTTACAAGGCGGATTCGACGCATTGCAAACCTACGCATCGAATAATGCAATTTTTACGAGCAGTTAATAATAATATAATTCAAACTATATCCAATTTAATTTACAAGTTTCGAAATGTTCAAATACCTGTTTAGCCAGACACTATTTTCAATGGTTATTGCGATTGTTTACGTCTATGGTATTCTTTATAAATCGATTCGATAATTAATTATTAATTAAATTAATTGTTAAAGTTGTTTGTAGTTGAAGAAATTCAAACTGGTTGTCATTTTGAATCTGGTAACTTACTGGGGAAATCGCGACGCGTTTGCGATCTGTGATGAGAGTGGCATAACGGGAATGCCCGGTAAACACACAAATATAAAAGCAACCCGAAGAGGCACACAGCAATAAACACACATCATTCACACATTCATACTACGAAAAGACGGACCCGATAATTAATACAGCCCAGAGTCATCAAATTAAATGTGAAAAATAGAAAATTAATTCAAATGAATCATCAAATTAAATAGAAAATTGAATTAGATGTGAAATTGATGTGAATTGACTCCAAGCAAACAATAACGACCGAACGCGGATGACGCGATGCTGAAAAGTGTGATACTTTGAGTTAACAAATGATTACCAATTATTTTCAAACCGAAAAGTTGAGAAAATTGTTTACAAAATAATAGGAAATTTACTAGATTTTCTGTTCTTATTTTTTGATGCAATTAAGCGAATTATTTATTTTCATTTGTCGCGATTATAGAAAATGTTTAATTAATGAAAAGCAAGTTAACTCAAAGTATCACCTGTACATAAATAGAAAGAACTAGCAAAGGGGAGACGAATGCATGCCGCGATTGGGATGCCCAAATTGCCAACAGAAAGCAGAATTGTGCATCCGGACAAAAGGGAAGTGTCCAGATGGGACAAATGGGCGCATACAGATACAAGACAACCAGTTTGGTGTCAGGTGTACTCACTACTTAACATCAGGCGATCTAATTATGCTGGGTGGATTAGCCCATAACCAAGGTCATAGCAATCAGTGGAATTCCCCTTGGGCTGACACACGAGCAGCAATTGTACTGGCACGTGAATCAGTCAGGGGCACTAATTGCCACCCTCCGATTAGGGGCATCACCACACCTACCTTCAATCCGGCTCCATGAAACAGGGATCATTCGTCTTGTTTCACTGGAGGATGCGTCGAGTATTCCCCCGTTGTCCAACGCTGGTAGGAAGCTAGAAGAGGTCCAACGATGCCCCTCTCATCATGGATGGATGGATTCCATTCGCGCACTCGGTTTACTCCCGCACTTTCGGTTACTATTCGCGACGCGCACTCGAAGTATTTCGTTAGACCTCTTCAGGTCATTCGCGATTCAATGAATACTTTATTCATGAATACTTGGGTTGTAGTTATAATATTGTGCAACTTTATTACTTTTAATGATCGCGACTCGAGTTCACATCCGATCTGAAAAGCAAGCAGAGAGACCAATTAGTATTAGTGGTTAATGTTTTACTTACAAATCACTTTGTTCTTCACTACACTCTTTGTCACTTCACTAATTTCACCAGAAGAACAACTTGTGCAGAAATATGTTAATAAACTCATAGAAATCGAAAAACATCAAGATTATTGCCCCTCAGTGGACCACAGGTAGGTAATCAGCGTCTTAATGTGTGAATCTAAAACAAAGCATAAGTCCAGTAAAACTTGAAAGTTAAAAGAAAATACTTTAATATTGAAAAACAATAGTTTTACGAGAGTGAGTATTAACAAGCTATGTAAAGTATAGGTACACTTACTATAATGTAACTTATAAAGTATAAACTTTAACGGTTGGACATAGAGCCATAACAAGTCGGTGTAAGTGTTTGTCAAACCAGTAGGTGTGCTGACGAGGCCTAAAATGGTCGAAATAGCTATCCACATAAAGTTTGACAAATACTTGCATTGACCTGCAAACTTGCAATGGTTTTAATAAATTATCGTTTACATAACGATATTGTGGGGGTATAGCGTACAGTAAATGTATACTTTACTTAACATTGAAATACTTTTTGAATCTCCATTGTGGAAGTGTGCATTCACGTTATTCGTCGTCAGCTGTTCCAATGACTAAACTTGTTCATCGTATCATCCCGTTGTGAGGAGGAGCAACAAACAACAGGTAGTTGTAGTACGCCTCTCTCAACCGGCACGACCCTCTCTGTAGGGGTGCACAATAAGGGTAGTAGTGATTTCCAGCTAATGGGGTGTCTCCGTGTCGTGCAATGGTGGCGGAATATGAAAACGATGAAAACTTGCATTATAAAAGTAATAATTTGGTATTAGTATTGTGTTTATTATTTGTTTTGCAACATTGTATCATGCAGGTAGTTTTGTTCTGCCTACAAATACCCTATGTCTGTAATTTTATTGCGGTCAAGGTTTCCTGCAACTTTCTATTTCTCAATCTAAGCCACAAAAAACAGGCCATTGGGCCAGCTGCAACCCCAGCCTACCGTTACCTCTGAATGGTCAGGGTTGAGTGAGCACGCAGGGCAGACATAATAAATCTGTTATTCCTACTTGGAAATCTGCGCTTACTATTGATACTACTACTAAATTACATTTGAATTAAGGAACGAGCTAGTTTTATGTCCTGTAATTAGGCAAAGACGCGATCCGTACAACGTGGCTTTTACATTTTCATGCAAATACGCAAACATCCGCAATAAAATCGTAAAAATATTATGATACACTCACCGTTCACTGCCTTCCCCGTTGATTTGACACAATTCCAGGCCATTCCAATAAATTGTAACTCAGATGCAATTGGATTTTGTAAAAAACAGCAAGCACACGTCTTATCAGCACAAAGAACAACTGCACAATATGGCCGACTTGGTTGCACAACTTACACGGCTCAACACGGCAAGCGCACAAGTATGACTCATGGCGGTTGAGCCAACGGCCGGCACGCAACATGAAAAACACAAGGTAACGCGATTAATCTCAAAATATTGTCAAAATAACTCTGAACTTCTTACCTGCCGTGCTCTTCCTCGTCGATTTGTATCACTTTCAGTATTGACCACTTGATTTTTATTCGGTTGCATTAATATTTTTGCATAGCAAACAGTAACACTTGTAGACTCGATAACGGTCGGCGCAGGAAGAGGACATCTTGTACGCCGGCGTCATCCTAGTGCAAAACGCAAAGTAGTGACTTTAGTGTTTTTTAGTTTTGCAGACACACACTGCTGCAGGGATGCCGAAATTACACGAATGCACCACCGATTCAATCAAGTGTAGATTCTGTTTGAATTATGATTGAGACCGATATTTGGATTCTTGTTTTTAAATCCGATTAATCGAATTTATATGGTTGTGGTTGTCACGATTGCTGAAAGTATGAATCTCCGCACGACGTGCACCCGACGATGAACGGATACAGAGTGATTTCCGCCAGTTACTCGGGTTCGTTGGAGAAAATCTAAAGTGTGAAGCACGCCTAAAATGCACACACACATACAAACACTTTGTGTGCGTGAAAATGCACGACTTTCTACACTGGTGGCGCGATCGGGTGCTAGATCTACTCGGATCAGCCGAGACAACATGATTAATTGCGACTGTTAAATGTTTAAAACGACATGATGATGATGATGATGATAATATTTGCATGTTATTTTTAATAAAATTTTCGAAAATATTTATGAGTATCAGTGAAAATCTGTCATAAAAACGAAATAAATAATATTTTTGTGATTGTGATTTAAGAACGCTCAGCCATGCGCCGGAGAATTTACCCAAGTTGACCGCTTCTCGTATCGACTTATTCACTGCTTTAGTTTTGAAACGTAGGTAGGTATTAGGTAAAATACCTAAATGATGAAATACACACGTTTCAAAATTAAATTTAAAAACAATGTTTTTAAAAGAAAGTTTGGTGAAATAAAGTTTTATAAAGTAAAGTTGTTATTATAAAAGAAGTTATTATTGAAGAAAATTTTATAAAATAAAGTTTTATAACAGAAAGTTTGTTTTATAAAATAAACTTTTATAAAATAAAGTTTTTAAAATAAGTTTTTAAGATGAAAAATTAAAATACAATATTTTACAAAAAAGTTTTAAAAAAATTAAAAAGAAAATTTGTGTGTACGCGAATGAGTCGTGCTTTGGTGACAACGCCAATACTTTATTGCTTTTGGTCTACGTTTGTACGCCGTGCTTAGTGAATGACGCTGCTACGAGGCTTTCGCACTGGTTGTGCTAGGATTGACAGCGGGGTGCGGGGTGTAAGGCCGGCCGCGTGTGCTAGGTTGCGCTGGTTGTAAGGCAGCGGAAACCGAGGATATGTAGCAGGCAAAGGGTGTCAGCAGTCAGCACGACACAGGTTACGAACGAGGAGATGTAGCAGGCAAAGCATGTGTTGCGAGTAAAGGGAGAAGAATGTTCAGGGAGTGCATGAGAAAACAGGCCAGAGTGGAGTCGAATAGAGAACACGACAGAGAGACAGAGAAAAGTAGAGTCGATATTTCACTGTATAGTTGGTAGGTAAATCTATCATAAAAACGAGCTAAATACCTAATATCTTTGTGTTTGCGATTTAAGAGCGCTCAGCCGTGCGGCAGGGAATTTACGCAAGGGGTATTTTCGTATCGACCATATTCATTGCTTTAATGTAAAACTTACAGGTAACGAACGAAAACAAATTTGGAAATAGAAATGTTTACAAAAAAACTTAAAAACTTTTATAAAATAAAGTTCTTTAAAAGAATGTCTAAAAAAGAAAATTAAAAATAAATAATTAAAAAGAAAGTTTGTGTGTACGCCGATGCGTTGTGCTTTTGTGACGACGCCGGTATTTCATTGCCTATGGTGCCGTTCGCACGGCACGCAGTGCTTAGTGAATGACGCTGCTACGAGGCTTTGGCATTGGTTGTGCTAGGTTTTGTCGGTGCGGGATGTACGGCCGGCCGCGTGTGCTAGGTTGCGCTGGTTGTAAGGCAGCGGAAACCGAGGATATGTAGCAGGCAAAGCAAGCGTTGCGAGTAAAGGGAAAAGGTTGTTCATTGAGTGCGAGAGAAGACAAGCCAGAGTGGAGTTGAGTAGAGAACACGGCAGAGAGACGGGAGTGAAAAAGGGGAGAAGTACAAATATAGAGACGATATTGCATTGTATAGTTAACGAATAAAGTTGAGAAGATTTTGAATTAGAGACATTATGCGGAGTTATTTCGAAACAAACTTA